TAATGTAGGTCTATGCTTAATGTTTTCTAACGAGCCTCTGGTCTGATTGAGAGGCTGTCAAATTGTCAATTTAACCTTACAGTGGCTTTGTTCCTATGCACAGCAATATCTCATTGTAATTTATACTTAAATGACATACAAAGCACAGATTGGGTCGTGTGTAATTTAAAATTGTCCTGATCAAAAATAATCCAGCTGATTTTTTCAGTTTCATGACACTTTCAGAATAGTACTCCAAAAATTTGATAATAATAAGATTTTGAGCCTGAAAAACGATACTATGCGCTGTAGATATATGGCGTAAATTACCTTGTGTAATGTAAAGTAAAATAAAACGACTGCAGGAGCGCTGACACATGCGCAGTTGCGCTTCAGGATGTACTATGTTTTCACCTACGTCCGCTAAGACTAAACATAAGCAGCGGCAGAGAACTGCGTTGTCATCTTGATCAGCTATCGCTAAACAACGAAAATGAGTGGCCGCGGAAAGGGAGGTAAAGGACTCGGAAAAGGAGGCGCTAAGCGTCACCGTAAGGTTCTCCGTGATAACATCCAGGGTATTACCAAGCCCGCGATCCGCCGCTTGGCTCGCCGTGGTGGTGTGAAGCGTATCTCTGGGCTCATCTATGAGGAGACTCGCGGAGTGCTTAAGGTTTTCCTGGAGAACGTCATCCGTGACGCCGTTACCTACACCGAGCACGCTAAAAGGAAGACCGTGACCGCCATGGATGTGGTGTATGCCCTGAAGAGACAAGGCCGTACTCTGTACGGTTTTGGAGGTTAAACGGACAGACGAACTGAAACACCAACGGCTCTTTTAAGAGCCACCCACATATGATAAAGCGCTAACTTTCTCCTAGTCACAATTAAACCAACAATATTGCACAACAAGGAAAAACGACTTCGGAGCTGTCTGTGGGTCTCCTTCATGTATGTTTATGGTGTAATGTTGAGCCTGGGCCTCTGATTGTATACCTTGACCAACTTTCAGCTAATCAGAAGTCAGCAGATTCCTTCTTTAATGTAAAGAAAAGTAAGATCCAAATTAAACTTTTGGACATTTGACCAAACAATTTGAGCACCTGTAAAACCAAAGGATGTAAAATGTTTGTCGTACAATACTCACATCAAACTAAGCAGGGAGAAAGATCTGAGCAGTGAGCACAGGCTGTACATACAGTTGTATGTATGTTCCTGTTTATTTCAGGCCCTAGTTTTGTATTGTAAAGGAATGCTATTCTGATCTCTAAACAAAATAAGGCTACAAAACAAGACCAAATGACCAGCTTGAGAGTTGTATTTGTAGAACTTGTTATGGTGCATGATTTATGAATTCAAACATTGTTTAGGAAAAAGGAAAAAAAAGACACTTGAAGTGACAACTTTTTGTGAAGGTGAAGGTGAACGCACTCAAAGCTTGCTGTTTCCACACACACAAAAATATATACATTTCGGAGGCTATTATAGATTTCGTTTTATGTTAGCATTTCGGTATATTACTATAATTACTATTATCAGGTAAACCGACACTACTGTAAGAAAAAAATGAGAAAAATAATCTATTCAATTGGACCAATCAGCTCTGAGACTCGGCACAGCTGTTTTGCATGAGGTGGGTATAAATATTGCTCACAGGCGCATACTCAAGCATCCGTTTGTCTGTACTCGGAAGAGCATAGTATGCCTGATCCAGCAAAGACCGCGCCCAAGAAGGGCTCCAAGAAAGCCGTAACTAAGACAGCTGGCAAAGGCGGCAAGAAGAAGAGAAAGACCAGGAAGGAGAGCTACGCTATCTACGTGTACAAGGTGCTTAAGCAGGTACACCCCGACACCGGCATCTCCTCCAAGGCTATGAGCATAATGAACTCCTTCGTCAACGACATTTTCGAGAGGATCGGCGGTGGGGCCTCCCGCCAAGCGCTCAACCATCACTTCCAGGGAGATTCAGACCGCCGTGCGCCTCCTGCTGCCCGGAGAGCTGGCAAAGCACGCCGTGTCCGAGGGCACCAAGGCCGTGACCAAGTACACCAGCTCAAAGTAAACTGTGTCTGCACCTTAAATGAAAACAACGGCCCTTTTCAGGGTCACCCGCTCTAAAAAAAAGGGCATTTTCCGGTTCATTTTTGGGTTTTAAAGTTATTTTTGATAATCTAGCCCAAAATGAAATCACACCAGTGTAATAGCCCAGGTAGCTTTTAGATTATGAAGAATCAGTTCTCAAAGTGATTAGTTAAACTATGAAATTACACGCAATGAGGAAAAGGGAAAAAAACTGGATACATTAATTCTGTACAGAGCACATTACAGGCAAAGCAATAGAGAAGAAACCCAAAATCACAGTAAACTTTAAAATGGAGGTGAGTTGTTTGTCCCTAACAATTCATGAAACTCTGGAGGCTTACTTTTTTCTTCATTTCAAGATTAAATGAAACTGACAGCTTTACTTTTTTATGCATCTCTCTTCAAAATGACACTGCATTGTAGTTAGTCCAATTGTATTTAAGCTTTGGCCAAAAAAAAAAAAGGCTTATTAATGAAGTTCAACAATCTCACCCACTTTGAAGTTTGCTCAGTTCCCTTTCCCCACTTCCTTCTCCTGGATTCCTTCAGTTGTCAAACACCATATTACAATTTAAAATAAATAAATAAAAACAAAATTATAATAATTAGTGCTACTGGAGTGCTGCACTGGATCAAAAACTTACACTCATCAAACCGGAGGGCTTAATTATTGTGGAGTAGTAAAAAGGATGGCAGAGGCACTCTCATTTGTGGTGTATTTATTCATAGTCACGCCACGCAGTCATGTGGGATATTTAGTCTTCATCAGGGCTGAGTGAGCAGGAGTCGTGACCCCAGACATGTGTTAGTTAAAAAAAAAACAATATCACATGTTCAATCCAAGTATATTGATATCATACCATTCATAACATAAAAACAAAACAAACAAACAAAAAAAACCACTGTTCTGTATACACTGGAGTATAGTCAATAATACATATATCCCTTAGATTTACACTGTACACTTCAAGAATTGCTTTTCAGTCATTGTCATCAAGAAGAAGAAAGCACTAGAAATTTTGTAACGAAGGTTACGAAAAATACCCGGGTATTTGGTGACCAACTGTCAAGAGTGGGGGCAACCTGTCTCCTCTTCGCAATGGTAAATGGTAAATGGTAAATGGTCAATGATATTTCAAATATTTCCACATTTATGCATTCCAGTCTTTTTTTGATAGCCATGTCTCCCTTTTTGTTGGGGTAAGGTAATTCCGAACCAGGTGGTTTTTTAGGTTCGGTGCTCTCCTAAAGGAATTAAACACAGTTTAGAGTGTGGGGTATCGCTCTGTGTGGAATCGCTCTGTAAAATCCCCCAGTTAGTTTTATTTTAATTGTCTAATGTTATATGATAATTGTCAAATTGCATAGAGAGAAATGTCCTTTGGGGAGGTTGGTGTTTAGGTCTTTTGCAGAAAAGATCCTTATGGTCTGTCGTTTTTGACCTTAGTAAGGGCACTGTCGAGTATTTTCTTACTGTATCCCCTTGTTTGGAACCGAGTCTACAGTTCATTAGCTGGTGAGTCAGTCATTAGGGTCATCACAGATTCTTTTTAGTCATTGAAATTGAATAAAAGGTATATCGTCAAGAAGTGGTTTAGGGTGAAAACTATCGGCACGCATGATGGGGTGATTTAGTTCCCCTTTATTGTTTACAGAAATTTTCATGTCTAAAAAGTTTGCCGACTCTTTACTGTACTCTAGAGTCAATTTTTAGGTTTTGGTTGGTATTATGTAAATAAATAGTAATGATAATTATTGAGCTCATTCTCAGTTCCATCAAAAATGAAAAATAAATCATCAATGTAGTGGCCGTACCATATGATGAAGTGACGATCAGGGTCAACACTGTAATATGGCATCATGTAATATGAACGACATATATTTTATTACAGAAACTCTTAAGTCTAAATGTCTGCATAAATTCCAAATCAGTGTAGAACCTAAACAATTTATTCTTTAATACAGATGGGAGGTAGCTAATGTAAATATTGTTCAACTGCCAATTTTGTTATATAGCATGGTCTTGGAGTCATTTATAGAAATTATTAGGTTCCATATTTGGGAACTTAGTTTTCTAGTATTTCATGGCAATGTACAATGTAAGCAATAGGAAAAAAGTAACCCTAACCTCATCTGGAAGTATGATTCATATTCTAGTTCTATTTTTTACCATTTTTAAATGTTATGTGTTTGTACCCATTTCAGATGCATGCAGCTAAAACCTGGAAGTCTTCCTTAAGGGTGTGAGAAAGGCATGTTTAAATCTATGCTCAAAACAGTTCTGTTTAGCTCTGCATATGACTTAAAGGTTTTCATTTTTCATTTCGCACTCTTCTAATTTAATCTCTCTCTGTCTCTCTTTTTCAATTTCATGATTATTTATGTTTTGATTAGTTTTTATTGTAATTTTAATGCATTTCTTATTCTGTAAAATACTTTGAAATACTTTGAGTACGAATTGTGCTATACAAATAAACTTGCCTTGCCTACTTATGAAAAGACATACAAAGGAAGGCTACGACGAGTGTTAATTGTTCTGACACTCTTCCAACAGTGGAAAAAACACACAAGCGACCTTTGGGATGACCAGCACCCATCCCCCATGCTTGCCTATTGGCGAAAGAACGGTCCCTCCTAGTGACTGTCTTCTCTAACGTCCGCAAAAGCCGCATAAAATGAGAGGAGCTAGGTAACTTTCTTTAATCTCCTATAAACGAACAGCAAACATGAGTGGCCGAGGAAAGGGGGGTAAAGGACTCGGAAAAGGCGGCGCCAAGCGTCATCGTAAGGTTCTCCGTGATAATATCCAGGGCATCACTAAACCCGCTATTCGCCGCCTGGCTCGTCGTGGTGGTGTGAAGCGTATCTCCGGTCTCATTTATGAGGAGACTCGCGGAGTGCTCAAGGTTTTCCTGGAGAACGTTATCCGTGACGCTGTTACCTACACCGAGCACGCCAAGAGGAAGACCGTGACCGCCATGGATGTGGTGTATGCTCTGAAGAGACAAGGCCGTACTCTGTACGGCTTTGGAGGTTAAACTGACAGATCTGAACCGAAACACCAACGGCTCTTTTAAGAGCCACCCACATGCGAAAGAACAATTCTCTCATGCCATTTATTTACATTTTAAACGTAATAATTTATTATACTACCAACTGCTAGATTTCAGAAGCCATCAGAGCATTCTGTAGGCCAATTCTGTTTGATACAGATGGGGAACAGCTAAAATTTGTTTTATTTTTTTATGCTATAATACTTCATGGGTCTAGTCATTAACAGAAATTATCAGGCTTTGTAACTTAATAAAAACTTTCTAGCCTTCCATCTGAGAGTATAGAATATGCAAACCACCAAAATCAATAACAGATGTGTCCTGTAGCCTGGTGTCACTGCAGAATACAGGGGGAGCCAGGTGAACATAACAGAAAAGTCTCTTCTAAACCTCATTCTTCCTCCTCTCTATTGTTTTGGTTGGTGAGGAAATGGGCCATTCCCTAAAGACATGTTTCTTCTGGAATGTCCTCTGGAAGCTCTTCCACCACATTTGGTGTAAAAAGTGTGTAGCATCTCAAAGAACACTCTCTACTCACATAAGACAAACAAACTGCTCATTTCACATAATAGTGCTTTGAACTGCACCTTCTGCAGTTAGTTAAAATAATACAACATAATATTGAAACTGATCTTAATAAATAAATAAATAAATAAAATTGCTCAGTGTGTCAGCTGGGTAGCCACAAGAGCAACCAACCACTTGATATGGTTAAAGGATTTATAATTATGTGTATTAGAACAAAGGTGGCAATTTTATTTTGTACCTACTCCGTTTCTTTCAATCCAACTTAATGTTACTAAATAAACTTTAGACGTCTGCCTGTTAATCATCTACATGACATAACTTAAGAGCTAGATAGTCTTCTTCAACTGTTAGTAAATAAATGAACAATGTGTTTTTATTCTAGGTCTGAATTTGGGTTTGATTTTATATTTCTCATGGTCCATTTGTCAGAGGAAAACAGATTTGAGCTGTTTATATGTGACCTCTCTCTGTTCTTGCCTCTCATAAGCTGTTTTCAGGCTGGTCAGAACCGTGTGGTTCCCGCACCATTTCCACTGGGAACCAAAGTGCTCACTGGTGAACGACCCGCGAGAACCCATGACGCGTCATCGACAGAGGGTGTGGATTTACCACCAAATAAAAACAAGGCCATATGAAAACGGATGTCACAGAGAGGAAAATAACAATCATTGAGCGCATCAACACCAGCGAGCATTTGTACTTACACAAGTCATTCTTTATGTGCCACAACATCGATCTGTTGTGGAGAAGACGGCAGCAACGCCGAATACAAAGATGTAATCTTATCAGGCGAACACGGATACATGCAAAATGAACGGTATCTAATAGTTTTTGCAGACTTAAAACTTTTGATTTAATACGTGATAGTTTCAATTGCTCTTTGTTTTTTTTTTACCGCGTGTGACCCGGATGAACATGCTGACGTCTTCAGTGTCATCACGGTTCGCTTAAAAAAACAAGTTTTACTTGGTTCCCTATGGGAACCGACTTTTCTTTTCCCGGAACGCTCTGATTTCTGGCGTGAACAAGTCGGTTCAAGATTATTTGAGGGAACCGAAACCAGCACGGTTCTCTGTCGGCCTGAAAACGCCTACAGTGGAGCAGACTGCAGGGTGCAGAACCTAGGGACTCAGACTCAGCCCTAATGCTTCTGTTCAATCACAAATGTAAGTGTTATGTTTAATAATATTATATTTTATGAAGTTTGTGTAGCCACATATATCTGATGTGTAAACATGAACATTTCTCTCTGTTCTCACAGTGGAATCTCCTTCAGACTGAAGCAACAAGGTGTAAAAGTATAAAATACAATATGGACAATTCAAATGAACATTTTACAGCTTTATTCATAATGTGTTACTGTTAATGGCGTTTTGAATAAAATTAATTCATTGATGCATTTTTTATTATTATTTTTTTTAATGAAATGTTTCTTAAACAGCACTGTGGTTGTAATTATAAACATTAACCCATGTATAGAATTCACCCATCAGAGAAGAAAAAGTCAACTCAGAATTGAGTAGGAAAAATAATATTTGGGTTGAAATGATAACCCAAACTGCTGGGTCAAAAAAAAAAATCTGAGTTGTAATGGTCCAATACTGACTCAGTGCTGAGTTATTATTTTATACAGGTTAGGTTATTTTTAACCCAGCATTTTTTTTAGTGTGTATATTGTGTAATGTGATGATCAAATTATCAAATAATTTTCTAAACTATTATTTTTGTCTTCACAATCAATATTAAATTGTATTAATAATAGAAGATGTTTAGATTTACTTTAAAAAAATCTAACCCAGAAATCTGGTATTGGTCAGATTTATATGTAAACATAACCATTAACCTACATTTTTGAACAATTTACTAATAATACTTAAAATTCAAAAAAAAAAAAAAAAAAACACAAAACAAAACAAAAAAAACAGCAATTCCTGTAATGGACAAGTGTACTGGAGAGGCTAACATTATGTTAATATGATTATTGTGCCTCATGTTAAAAGTACATGAAGAATAACACCAGTGCTGCAGTGCAAACTGAGGGAGGCTCCTTCGTAGTTGTGCTTACTGCAGCCACAAACTCGGTTAATTACAACTATACGCAGAAGCCACTCTACGAATTTAACTTTTACATTTAATGCTTGACATCTCTAGACTCTATCTAAATACAAAGTATTTCTTATATATCACAGTTTTGTCCAATTTAAGGCAAAATGTAGGAAAAAGTCGGAGCTGAGAGTCTCGCTCTTCTGGACATGGTCCAGGTTTGAGGGCTTGTAATTTAAAACACAGGATCCTGAGCGTAAGAGGGTGCGTTAAATTAAAAGATGTGATTGTGCACTAAAGCATGATATCAAAGTGTCCAGGGAAAATATGTCACATTTGTGTATTTTTAACTTTAAACTGCGAAGAGAAAACACAGAGCGGAGACACTGGCGCTGAGCAGAGGGCGTTGAGTCTCTACGGTTCTCATGTGCGTTATAACTGTGGTCCGCGCGCGCGCGCCCGGCCCACAGACTCGGATCTAACCCGATACGAACCCGAACCATGACAGAGACCGCTCCCGTACCGGCCACCCCTCCGGCCAAAGCAAAGGCCCCCAGGAAGAAGGCCGCGGCCAAGAAGAAGGAGGGCCCCAGCCTCCAGAAGCTGATCACCGGCGAGATCGCCGCCTCCAAAGAGCGCAAAGGCGTCTCCGTGGCCGCTCTGAAGAAGGCTCTGGCCGCGAAGGGCGTGGATGTGGCCAAGGCCAACAAGCGCATCAACACCACCCTCAAGAAGCTGGTGACCTCTGGTGCCGTGAGTCAGACCAAGGGCACTGGCGCGTCCGGTTCCTTCAAACTGGCCAAGACCGAGGCCAAGCCCAAGACCGTGAAGAAGAAGGCCGTCGCCAAGCCTAAGAAGCCCGCGGCCAAGAAAGCAGCGAGCCCCAAGAAGAAGGCGGCCGTCAAGAAACCCGCAGCCAAGAAGCCCAAGTCCCCGGCCAAGAAAGCGGCGAAGAAGGCGGCGCCCAAGAAAGCAGCGGCTAAAAAGCCCGCCAAGAGCCCCAAAAAAGCGGCGCCCAAGAAGCCCAAGGCGGTGAAGAAGAGCCCCAAGAAGGCCCCCGCCAAGAAGGCCGCCCCTAAGAAGGCCAAAAAGTAACAGCTGACGCGACCCCCGCAACACAAAGGCTCTTTTAAGAGCCACCACTCTCTCACTAAAGAGCTTCATCTTTGTCAGAGTCCAATATTGTGCCCGGTGCTTCTGTAGGTGTTTTTACCTCTCCAGACCAGTATTCCTGTAATGACAAATATCTCAAAACACATGCTGCTACACCGCACAAACAGAAGTAGATAAAATAAGTATATTAATGAGTTACCGCATATGTGAGTGTGGAGAGCAGTACATGTACGTTATGCCTATTTATGGTGCACTTTCATACAAAAATATTTTTATACAATTAAAAACGTGTGTGGTTGATATCAGAGAGAGGACACGCATAATTGATTAAAATATAACAGCGTCCTTAGCGTTTTTAAATGGATATCGTGTTATTACAAAAGTACGAGTCGTAACATAAGTTTGTGAGCGGTTGCGGTTACACGCCGCGGTTACACGCCACACAAACACAAACACACAGTAACAACAGATTGTTACCTGATTTTTGGAGTTATTACTCTGTTTGAGATGCCCTGTTAACAGCAAAGTCATGTGATTCATTCTCGATCATGCTCTTTCTCTCATTACTCACATCAGAGTTTGTGGATTTTGCAAGTCATTTAACTAATCTCAGAAATCTGATTTTGGCGCGCGTGTGTAAACAAAGCCTCTGATAGTATCTTGACAAAGGCTCGTTCTTCACCAGCGTGAACCGTAGACCGGACGGTGTGAACCTCTGAACAAGCGCGCGGGGCAGAGGCGGGGTTAAAGTTTGAACCCAGAGCGCGAGCCCCGCGCAGCCAATCAGCTTCGCCCTGGTTTCTATAAAAAGCAGCTGCCTCCGCCCCGTACCTCATACCGTCTTAGGTTTTCACTGAACGCCTAGAGCAGAGGAAATGGCCAGAACCAAGCAGACCGCGCGTAAATCCACCGGAGGAAAGGCTCCCAGGAAGCAGCTCGCCACCAAGGCTGCCCGTAAGAGCGCCCCGGCCACCGGCGGTGTTAAGAAGCCTCACCGTTACAGGCCCGGCACAGTGGCTCTCAGAGAGATCCGTCGTTATCAGAAATCCACCGAACTGCTGATCCGCAAGCTGCCCTTCCAGCGCCTCGTCAGAGAGATCGCCCAGGACTTCAAGACCGACCTGCGCTTCCAGAGCTCTGCCGTCATGGCTCTGCAGGAGGCCAGCGAGGCCTACCTGGTGGGTCTGTTCGAGGACACCAATCTGTGCGCTATCCACGCCAAGAGGGTCACCATCATGCCCAAGGACATCCAGCTGGCCCGCCGCATCCGCGGAGAGAGGGCTTAAGCCGACCTGTCCCTGACCCCCAACAACACAACGGCTCTTTTAAGAGCCACCTAGATCAAACAAGAGTCACACTTCCCCTCAAACGGAAGTTATTAATTATCATCAATGTTTTACGTCTTACTCATCTCACATCACACAATGTTATAATATATAATTCTATAATAACGTGTGCGTACAGTCACAGCTCCAGACCAAAGCGTGGAGTTCACTCCACCGCATTTCCACAGTTTATTCTGATTTATGAATACGGATGTGAACATGTAACATGACATCCGTGTCCCCTCGAACGGTCAGACATTAAAATACTTAACAAATATTCTTTGCCGTTAATTCTCAGTGTTTTAAACGGGTTTGTTTCCTCGTAAATAAAGACGGACTGCTGTCAAGGGCCTCCATAAGGGCAGGGTTTGAGGAAAAAGCTTGACTTTATTTTCAAGATAAATGTGATTGTTGTGAAAAGGGTGCGCTCTGGCTTGGAGCTGCGCGCTCAAAGTGTGAGAGAGCGTGTTTTTCTTATTGGAGGATTATCACTCCGACAGACCAATCAGCGATCAGCAGGGTCTTTATAAATCCAGCCGCAACGCTGTACCGGCACAGTTGATTCTTCTCAGACTCAATACGCAGTAAACATGTCTGGACGTGGAAAAGGCGCAGGCAAAGCCAGGGCTAAGGCCAAGAGTCGCTCCTCCAGGGCCGGCCTCCAGTTTCCCGTGGGCCGTGTGCACAGGCTGCTCAGGAAGGGCAACTACGCCGAGCGCGTTGGAGCCGGAGCCCCCGTGTACCTGGCCGCAGTGCTCGAGTACCTGACCGCTGAGATCCTGGAGTTGGCCGGCAATGCCGCCAGGGACAACAAGAAGACCCGTATCATCCCCCGTCACCTGCAGCTCGCCGTACGTAACGACGAGGAGCTGAACAAGTTGCTCGGAGGCGTCACTATCGCCCAGGGTGGTGTGCTGCCCAACATCCAGGCCGTGCTCCTGCCCAAGAAGACCGAGAAGGCCAAGTAAAGAAACCGCCCGACCCCATCACACAACGGCTCTTTTAAGAGCCACCCACTCTCCACAAAGGGCACTATATCCTGTTTTCACTGCAGAATAATACACACTTAACGCCTTATCAGTCTACTCTGTAGTTTCTGACTAAGAAGTAAAGTTGCTAATTAATTTGGTCGTTTGCAGCTCACGGATAAAGACTTTTAATGAGCTACTGCGTCAAAGTGTTATTGTCGACCAATAAAGTTTAAGTACTGTTTGTATATTACTCAAGCATTTAAAGCGCGAAAAGATGACTTAAAATGCCAATACCCCGTGTGTACCAACAGCAACACGTCACTCGTTCTTTAAAGTAACTCCTTAGATCTCGCTTTATTAAAGGCTTCTACAGTGGAAAAAACGCATAGCACGCTGATAATTTTTCTTTTTTTTTTTTTTTTTGGACCACGCACCTGACTTGAAGAGTTTTTGGGAGATATTTACTTTACTTTGGGATTGCATGAAAGAGCCTTTAGAGAGCTTTTTAGAGAACAGGTCGCTTTGACTGAGCCATAGATGTACAATATCCGGACATCTAAATCACTTTAAATCAATTCAGGAGGACGTTACATTTAATTCAAGCCATTTAATAAGCCTTCAGCAAGTGGAACAGGAGAACAAAAGAGAGCGGTGTGCGATTCGACCAATCACATCTTAGGATCGGCGCAGCTGCTTTGCATCGAGCGGGTATAAATACCGCTCACAGGGGCACGTCAAGGCATACGTTCGTCTGCACTCAGGAGAACACGTCATGCCTGATCCAGCAAAGACAGCGCCTAAGAAGGGCTCCAAGAAAGCCGTGACCAAGACCGCCGGCAAAGGCGGCAAGAAGAAGAGAAAGACCAGGAAGGAGAGCTACGCCATCTACGTGTACAAGGTGCTCAAGCAGGTACACCCCGACACCGGTATCTCCTCCAAGGCCATGAGCATTATGAATTCCTTCGTCAACGACATTTTCGAGAGGATTGGCAGTGAGGCCTCCCGCCTGGCGCACTACAACAAGCGCTCCACCATCACTTCCAGGGAGATTCAGACCGCCGTGCGCCTCCTGCTGCCCGGAGAGCTGGCCAAACACGCCGTGTCTGAGGGCACCAAGGCTGTCACCAAGTACACCAGCTCCAAGTAAACTGCGCCTGCGCGTTTCACCAAAAACAACGGCCCTTGTCAGGGCCACCCACCACAAATAAAGGGCGCTCTCTAAATATATACTCTTGTGCAGTTTTACGAAGACATGTAATCAAAATGTTTCAATTTACTTTAGGTCGCATTTTACATGCTTGACGTAGGAAAAGCTCTGAAGCAGTGGTTTCACTAGCGACTGCCAGAACTGTGTGTGTGATTCAAGAAATTCCTTATTTTCACAAATGGTGGCTGTAAATTGGGCTGCAACTAATGGTAGGAACAGGCCTGACTGACACCTACCAGCTACTAGGTTTAAAAAAAAAAAAAAAAGTGGTTATATTTGGCTAAACTGGCTCATCCATATTAATATATTTTAATTGTCTATTCAAAGGAAAATAATGCACACATGGGCTAATCCTTATAAAGCTCCCCCAAATTCTTGAATTGTTCCACTTTTTTTTTTCATCCCATGTTTTTTTTTTTTCTTTTTTTGTTTTCCAGTCAGCAGCCTACCCCACTGAACCAGCCTGAGAAACCATTTAAAGGCTCAGGAAAATATCTGTGACAAAAAATATTGAACTTTTTCATGATAATCTAATGATTTAGGTTGGACAAGTACCATTATTATTAGCAGTTGTTCATGTTAAATTGTTTTATTGCTAATTTGTTATTACAATGCATAGTATTAATAAACACATCCATAATACAGCAGCTTTGTGGAAGCAGCTCTGGAGAGGTCTTTCTAATATAGCTAATTAACGTTCAAGATGAATTTTCAGATTTCCTAAATATTTCAACTTCTAAACTTGATGTTTAGGATTTGACAGGAATATTGTTAAATGTTTTGATGGGGAGGGGCTCACATTTCAAAACAAAACAAAACATATATATATATATAAAAAAAACATATGGCTGGCTCTGTAAATAAATTCATGTTCCACACAATCAAAGGCCATATAAAAGTCTGGAAACATATTAAAGCTATCTTCACCAATAAAGTTCTGGGCAATCTAGGCAAGGCAAGTTTATTTGTACAGCACAATATTTAGCTTCAAGCACAGAACCTTCAAAGTGCAATATAAACAAATCAAAACATCATTATATAATGAACATTAAAAGAGATGAGAGCAGTGTTTTATAGTCATTATTAAGTACACAAATGGATCCCCAATTCTTAAATACAAGTTTGTGGTAATTAGGTTTTGGAATTACAGAAATAATCCCCTAAATCTGAGTAGTTGGTAATTTTCCACAAACAGTGCTTTATGAAACAGTGTTTAGAATAAGAATTTGAGACACCTGATGGCATCTTGTACCTCAAGAGTTACATTTCTATGAGCATCAGAGGTTCATTTACAAAATTGTGTAATTGTGTAGAGCATTTAGAGAAGTAAAGATTATACTAAAACTTTGTTGTAAATCTATGGAATAGTTTAGTTTCAACTTTTCAAAAAAAAAAAAAAAAAAAAGAAACAAATAGGAGCATTGCTCTCCCTCCTGTAGCCATTTCACCCTCAGTTTTACAAAAGCACCTTGAGTTTTTGGTCTCAGCTAATCTAAAATAAAGATGCAATTTGAAAACATAGATCTCCTCCTTTTTGCCTTCAGAGTATTGTATTTTAATAATTTGCAGTAACAACCATAAGAGTTATTTCTACCGACTTCCTCCCAGCATGAATTGATTTGTTTTTTCACCTCTTGATTCACAGCTTCATGTGTCAGAAGATGTTATGAAGTTTCCAAAAGAGTTTTTGGTGCAAGTTCACTATTGAGAGAAACTTTTTTATGATCTTGACAAGAGCTTCATGAATATGGACATTTAGTGTAGAACACTCTAATTTATTGTGAATGTTTATGTTTATTTATTTAACATATGAGAATGTGTTAGTACATCATGTAAATGTGCCAGAGTTTGCTGTGTAGACTCATTTTCATCCGTAGTCGCATTGGCAGGTTGATGTCAAGACAAAAAAAAAAAAAAAGGACATAAAGACACATAACATTCAGTCCATCAGACATGACAAAGACTTTAAGATCAGTGAATATCATATTAATCAAATTAAAACATGCTAAAAGCACACACAGATTAAAGACAATAGACACAAATCGCAATCACACAAAAAGACAGAGACATATGCTGTCAAACATGCAGATTAGTCAATAAACCAATAATCATTTTAGCATAGTCCTTTAGTCCACTTCTTTAAAACAGTCTACTCGTCAATCTCAATAAATTCAAATATCATGTTTTTTTTTTGTTTGTTTGTTTGTTTTTTTGTTTTCTCATTTCAGAAAGTCAAATCCAAATGTGATATATATTCATGACACAGAGTGAAGATTTTTTTTTCTAGACATGTTGATGGTTATGGCTTACAGATCCTGAAAACTCAAAAATCAGTGTCTCATTAAATTTTAATAATGTGAAAAAAAAAAAAAAATGCTAAAGAGTAATACTGGAAAATCAGATTTTTAGCTCAAAACACCTGCAAAGGTTTCCTGAGCCTTTAAATGGTCTCTCAGGCTGAGTTCAGACTGCAGCCTGAAGTGACCCAAATCCAATTTTAAAATCGCCAGGTGCTCAATGCTCATGTCCATGTTTGGACAACTTCCGTAAACACAGAGCACGCTTGCTGCGGTTGACATCATCGTGTCCTCCAGTGCGCATGTGGGACACTTTCGGGCCATTTACTCTTCAAACTGGAGTCACATATAAGTCGCATTTCATTGGAAATGTGAACGACCTTGCAAAAACATCGGATTTCACAAAAAAATCGGAATTCAGCATTAAGCCCTGCAGTCTGAAAGTAGCCTCAGTCTGGGTCAATGGAATACATCATCATGGGGAAGGCTGCTGATGGGACAGAACACAGTCATTAGCACCTTCCACAAGGAGGTGTGGGTTTTTTCGGAAGGTTCCATGCGTGTCCTAAAAAGAAGCACGAGAGAATCCGAGAGAACAGGCCACTTTATTTCGTCATTTTCCATTGAGAGAGATTCAAGTTGATTACCAAGTACAACTGTCACCCCGGAACGACGCCTCAACTGTCCAACTCAAAATCAGGGGTAGCTTTATACTACATCTTGACAAAACATTAACTTGTTGATTCAGCATATACAGCAAGAAAATGAACAATACTGCTGACCCAGTACACCTTATCATGGGTGGGACCATGTCACGGGGACCACATATGTCAGTTTTGCTGCTTCATGGCATCTCAAAGTCCAAAAAAAACATGTTCTTTATGACACTCCAGTCCAGAAATAACATGTTATATAGACCTATGGATAATCACACGTGTTTTTCCACCCATGTCATTCTAAAGTCCATAATATTAGGTGAATTAGCATGATCAGCACATAATTTCCCACAGAGGGTAAGCTACACTTGATTGTCCTGCAAACTTGCCTGACCTGAATCCTACAAAGAATCTCGGGGATATTGTCAAGAGGAAGATCAGAGCAGATGATCTGAAGGCCACTATCAAAGCAACCCGAGTTTCTGTTACACCTGAGCAGTGCCACAGGGTGATCGCCTCCATCCACAGCCCCAGAATGCAGTAATTTATGCAAAAGGAGGCTGAGCAAAGTATTGAGTACATATAAATGAAAATACTTATTAAAAGCCAGACATTTCTGTTTAAAATAGCATTCTTTAATTGATGTCATGCAATATTTGAATTTTCAAACACACTGAATAGGGATGTCCATTATCTGTAAGCCATAATCATCAACATCAAGAAATAAAGGCTGGAGAGCTTTATATATTTATGTATTTATTGATTTATTTATCAGGCACAGTGTACATTAATCAATATTTCTGCAAATGTACTAAATTTGCAGTCATCTGCAACCCCTGGACAGACATGGTAAACAAGGTTACCCTAAAAACACAATAAGATTTATACAAAAAAGCGCAATTGTTAATAACAGTTTGATTAAAAGGCAGAGAGAACACACGGATTATTTACTTAGAAAACACAGCGGATGCGCGCGCAACCCGAAAGTGTCGCTGTCTCTGCGGGTACCATGAAGTTGCAGCTTAAACTAGCGCTGTTGTAAGAGCACTAAAACAATTAATCTCAGCGGGATGAAATATGTTAAATTAGGAGAGTGGGATACGTCTTAATGCGTTAAATGCTGGTGAGTGAGTGAATGACGAGAAGAAATGGCTCACATTTCAGATGAGTGGATGTCCCGCTACTGATGAACTAGCTCCGCCTCCAGGAAGGCCTAAAATCCTACAAAACACAAAATAAACACAACATAATACAAGACAGCAGTTTTTTGCACGAGATGTATACTTGCTAGTGAAAAACAAGGTTGAAAATGCTCCAACCCTATGTATCTATTAGTGATGGTCTAAACGAGCCAAGGCACTGATACACTCATCATGTGCTGAAAGCAATGCCTCAGGCGAGCTGTGTCATTGATCGTATCGCTTTAAGAAAAGTCACGTGACCGACACAGTGACTGTATCGTACCGTTTCACATTGGAGAGGGGTCTGGCTGCAGACACATGGGGAAAGTGGAGCTCCACTCCAGACCGGAAACACGTGACCTCCACCGGATACACGTCATATCTACGATAGACTTTTATTTTTTATTTTTTATTTTTTTATTCGTATTAGCCATATTAGCCGTGTCCCAATTCCAGGGCGGCAGCTTTCGAAGGCTGTGAAGGCTGCAGCCCTCACCGTAGCTGAAATGTGACAGGTGTAGCCCACGGAGCCGCCCCATCGCCTAGCAACCGAGACACTGTGCTAATGCTAATGCTAACAACACGTACCACGCATGACGCACGGGTAATCAAACTTGGAATTTTAGACCAAGTTATTCTAAAAATTCTCATCCAAATCTTATGGCTAAAAACGATAACTTATGTTTAACTTTTGCAAAACAAAACGGCGATATTTCTGGGATACATCTAAAATAGACTAAATTGCCTTAAAGTTTCAAAAACTGATGAGATTATTAATTATTAATAAAGTATTTTTAAATTGATAAAGGATTACATTTATACCGGGGATGTATTTAAGTCATTTTATAAAGAAAGACATCTCTGCTTTGAGAAAAGATGGTTTATTAAACAATCAAAAGATTGTAAATACTGTAAATACTTTATCATAATGTGAATAGTCAAACATTAAACCCATTACACACACACACACACACACAAACACAAACACATACTGCATTAATAGGTGAGTACAAATAGCTGTATGTCAGTGTACTCTCAAAGAGTTCTTCCCATTTTGCTGAAGCAGAAAAAAAAAAAATCCAAAATATGATCAGGTGGAATACCACTGCTTAACTGCAGTACAACAGTACATTCTTATAGTACATGTAATTAGTTACTTTCAAAAGAGACAGAAAGTAAATGGCACATTTCATCATGAATCAAACATCAGTACAGACTGAAAAACATTCAGAAAAACTTATTATGAGCAACTTATATGACTCTAGTTTTGTCTTATACACTTGTTAAGGTCATATAAGGACACATTTATCATGGGACACTTCCTCAGTGATAAAGCTGTTTAGGTGCTCCTCAGCTAAGACGAACAGAAACCACCATTTTACTGTTTCACTTCTGGAGGAAATTAGACGTTAAACCTAAACTTTATGGACACATCACTATTAGGACACATAAGGAACAGCAGCAAACAGAATGTGCAGGAGGAAGGCCTGATGCAACCAGAGGCCCCACAGGTCTGCAGTCTGGACCTCCTCCTCCTCTGTGAGTCTGGACATGGACAGTGGAGACATGACCCAGTGTACTTGGATCATTCAGTCTGATGTATCTCTCGTGTTCTGGAGGAGGAAGAGCAGAATGGGCCTTAAGTCTGACTGGTTGAAATTTCTGTCTGCAGAGTGAAAACCTGTAATGACACACACATTAAGAAAACTATTACATAAATCCAAACAGCTAAATCTCACACATTTGAGAAATGTGTATTTTCAGAAAATTAAATAATGATTTCAACATGAGCATGATTCATTTGCAGCTCTTATTATTATTGGCGTTTTCAATGTAACATGTCCCAGACCTAAACAGAGGCAGGAGTCTGGGTCAGCACCTCCTGCTCAGTGTTGCTTTTCTTTGTCATCTGCATTTGACCCATTTTATGAATCATGAGCATCTCATCAGCCACCAGTTTTGTGGCCCCAGCAGTGTGTTGTGTTCTCATACAGGAAGCTGCAGATGAGAAAAGAACATGAATCTCAAACAGTTGACTCACTGTTATGATATTAGATGTGACAGACCGAACAGACACAAGTGTCTAGTATCTACAACAGTGTCTGCAAAATCTGTTAAATGAGCCTCATGTCCACCTTATATCTGACCTGTCCAGGCAGGATTATTTACTTTTCACTTTACAAACATGCACCGATTGTTAAAAGCAGATAATGTATTCCCAGAATGAAATGCACACGTTGGAGGTTTATGTTACGTGAATATAAGTAAATATAAGCTTTGACATGTTTAATGTTTTATACATTAAACATAAAAAACTGTGTCTTTTATGTTTAATGCATGAAATAATGCGTGTTTTTATCTTACCGCACTTACACTTATACTGGCCAAGTGTTTACAAGTTTAACTCAGTCACTGTGTGTGAAAATGCAGTGTTTTCTCCTCGTAGCTTCATTAAATCACTCCGTGGGCTTCTTTACCCCTAACAGTAAAAACATGATTAGTGTTTGATGGAAATCTGTCCAAATATGAAAGTTTGAGCTGACTTTTCATCGCGTTAGCTGCAGATTACTAATCAAACTTTTAGCTCAAATCTCCGAGGTTCACGCAGTTAAAAATAAACTTATTTGACAGTTTTGTGAGAGTTATGGTCGTATTTTACATTTACAGTTGTGTTAGTAATGATTTCCTAAAGTTAAAAGCGTGTTACTCACATGTTTTCTCCGTCTTCCAGATGGTCGTTTTGCTCTGTGTTTATATGTGCGAACAAATTCCATAACGTAAAAACAATCTTATTTAATAAACATTTAATTGCGGTCAAAATAAATCGTTTCGTCGCCCCATAGGTCTACATAAAAGTAGAGATGACATCTTCGTTGGAGGTCACGTGTTTCCGGTCTGGAGTGGAGCTCCACTTTCCCCATGTGTCTGCAGCCAGACCCTTTTGGGGAAGTCCAGCACAGATCGAGCCACTTGCTGCTACGACGCCGTTCGTCACTATGGGCCCTCCAAGAAAGAGAAAGTTTTCTTCTGTGTGGGATCATTTTGATCTCATAACACCTGATAAGGTAATTTGTATTCCATTCCTGTTTCCACAGCCTATGCAACCCGAAACATCATCAGTGCTCCAGCATTATTGAGCTCGCCCTGAAAGAGAACAAAATACACCAGGAATGGACACTGGTGGATTAGTATATTGTAATCAGTCACTAATTATTATGGAGGCTAATAGTAATCTAAATCAGACACCTTTCCTTTTCACTTCAAGCTTCTAGAAAAGAGGCCCTAAATCTATGCATTGTAAATATTATAATAAAAGATTGCCAACCTTTCAGCATCATTGAGGACGAGGGATTCAGGGAGATGCTGCAGACCCGTGAGCCATCATACGCAATACCAACCAGGAAGGTACTGTAAATGTCAGAAATTGCACTGAACATGAACAGTTTGAATTATTATTATTATTATTATTGTTTGAAGATTTTTTTTTCTGTTTTACAAGCTCTAAAGGAAATGGTATCTAAAAGATATGAAGCAGAAACCCTGAACATAAAAGAAAAATTCCACCAATGCAGTCAGCCTTACAGCTGATATGTGAACTTCAATAAACATGGAGGCCTACTTGGCTGTGACTGGCCGTTTTGTTAATACTGAAAATAAAATGTGCACCACTGTGCTGGGAGTTAAATACTTTCCCCAGAGCCACACAGCAGAGATAATTGCTGAGGTAGATTTATAAAAAATATTCAGTGCATAAAGACTTGTTATTTATTTATGTATTTTTTTTTTTTTTTTAGGTCACACAACATCTGATTGCAACCTTTCCTGCAAAGGCCCATTTGTCACACCACTTAACTGATGCTGGTGCAAATATGATAGCAACAGCGAGACTATAAAAAAATTGGGCATAGTCCTTGCATCGCACACACTTTAAATTTGATAGGTCTGACACTTGATCTCAAGATTTTTTAACTAACTGATATCCAAAATAAAACAAAAAAAACAATGTCACCTATTTTCGTTCCAGCACTGTCGCCAAGGAAAAGCTGTGTCAAGTGGAAAGACCACTTTTGAAGCTAATAAATGAAGTTCCAACACACTGGAACAGCACTTATCAAATGTTGTTAAGAGTAGCAAGCCAAAAAGAGCCCGTTTGGGTGAGTCTGGCATCCTTAAAAACACCAATGCCTGCACTTACCGATGAAGAGCACAACATCATTGCAGAAATCCTGGTTGTGCTTGCCCCTTTTAATTCTGCTACTGTGGAGTTTTCAGAGGATTATGTATTATGGATGTGTTTATTAACAAATACTATGCATTGTAATAACAAATTAAGCAATAAAACAATTTAACATGAACAACTGCTAATAATAATGGTACTTGTCCAACCTAAATCATTAGATTATCATGAAAAAGTTCAATATTTTTTGTCACAGATATTTTCCTGAGCCTTTAAATGGTTTCTCAGGCTGGTTCAGTGGGGTAGGCTGCTGACTGGAAAACAAAAAAGAAAAAAAAAAACATGGGATGAAAAAAAAAGTGGAACAATTCAAGAATTTGGGGGAGCTTTATAAGGATTAGCCCATGTGTGCATTATTTTCCTTTGAATAGACAATTAAAATATATTAATATGGATGAGCCAGTTTAGCCAAATATAACCACTTTTTTTTTTTTTTTTAAACCTAGTAGCTGGTAGGTGTCAGTCAGGCCTGTTCCTACCATTAGTTGCAGCCCAATTTACAGCCACCATTTGTGAAAATAAGGAATTTCTTGAATCACACACACAGTTCTGGCAGTCGCTAGTGAAACCACTGCTTCAGAGCTTTTCCTACGTCAAGCATGTAAAATGCGACCTAAAGTAAATTGAAACATTTTGATTACATGTCTTCGTAAAACTGCACAAGAGTACATATTTAGAGAGCGCCCTTTATTTGTGGTGGGTGGCCCTGACAAGGGCCGTTGTTTTTGGTGAAACGCGCAGGCGCAGTTTACTTGGAGCTGGTGTACTTGGTGACAGCCTTGGTGCCCTCAGACACGGCGTGTTTGGCCAGCTCTCCGGGCAGCAGGAGGCGCACGGCGGTCTGAATCTCCCTGGAAGTGATGGTGGAGCGCTTGTTGTAGTGCGCCAGGCGGGAGGCCTCACTGCCAATCCTCTCGAAAATGTCGTTGACGAAGGAATTCATAATGCTCATGGCCTTGGAGGAGATACCGGTGTCGGGGTGTACCTGCTTGAGCACCTTGTACACGTAGATGGCGTAGCTCTCCTTCCTGGTCTTTCTCTTCTTCTTGCCGCCTTTGCCGGCGGTCTTGGTCACGGCTTTCTTGGAGCCCTTCTTAGGCGCTGTCTTTGCTGGATCAGGCATGACGTGTTCTCCTGAGTGCAGACGAACGTATGCCTTGACGTGCCCCTGTGAGCGGTATTTATACCCGCTCGATGCAAAGCAGCTGCGCCGATCCTAAGATGTGATTGGTCGAATCGCACACCGCTCTCTTTTGTTCTCCTGTTCCACTTGCTGAAGGCTTATTAAATGGCTTGAATTAAATGTAACGTCCTCCTGAATTGATTTAAAGTGATTTAGATGTCCGGATATTGTACATCTATGGCTCAGTCAAAGCGACCTGTTCTCTAAAAAGCTCTCTAAAGGCTCTTTCATGCAATCCCAAAGTAAAGTAAATATCTCCCAAAAACTCTTCAAGTCAGGTGCGTGGTCCAAAAAAAAAAAAAAAAAAAAAGATTATCAGCGTGCTATGCGTTTTTTTCCACTGTAGAAGCCTTTAATAAAGCGAGATCTAAGGAGTTACTTTTAAGAGAAGAGTGACGTGTTGCTGTTGGTACACACGGGGTATTGGCATTTTTAAGTCATCTTTTCGCGCTTTAAATGCTTGAGTAATATACAAACAGTACTTAAACTTTATTGGTCGACAATAACACTTTGACGCAGTAGCTCATTAAAAGTCTTTATCCGTGAGCTGCAAACGACCAAATTAATTAGCAACTTTACTTCTTAGTCAGAAACTACAGAGAGTAGACTGATAAGGCGTTAAGTGTGTATTATTCTGCAGTGAAAACAGGATATAGTGCCCTTTGTGGAGAGTGGGTGGCTCTTAAAAGAGCCGTTGTGTGATGGGGTCGGGCGGTTTCTTTACTTGGCCTTCTCGGTCTTCTTGGGCAGGAGCACGGCCTGGATGTTGGGCAGCACACCACCCTGGGCGATAGTGACGCCTCCGAGCAACTTGTTCAGCTCCTCGTCGTTACGTACGGCGAGCTGCAGGTGACGGGGGATGATACGGGTCTTCTTGTTGTCCCTGGCGGCATTGCCGGCCAACTCCAGGATCTCAGCGGTCAGGTACTCGAGCACTGCGGCCAGGTACACGGGGGCTCCGGCTCCAACGCGCTCGGCGTAGTTGCCCTTCCTGAGCAGCCTGTGCACACGGCCCACGGGAAACTGGAGGCCGGCCCTGGAGGAGCGACTCTTGGCCTTAGCCCTGGCTTTGCCTGCGCCTTTTCCACGTCCAGACATGTTTACTGCGTATTGAGTCTGAGAAGAATCAACTGTGCCGGTACAGCGTTGCGGCTGGATTTATAAAGACCCTGCTGATCGCTGATTGGTCTGTCGGAGTGATAATCCTCCAATAAGAAAAACACGCTCTCTCACACTTTGAGCGCGCAGCTCCAAGCCAGAGCGCACCCTTTTCACAACAATCACATTTATCTTGAAAATAAAGTCAAGCTTTTTCCTCAAACCCTGCCCTTATGGAGGCCCTTGACAGCAGTCCGTCTTTATTTACGAGGAAACAAACCCGTTTAAAACACTGAGAATTAACGGCAAAGAATATTTGTTAAGTATTTGACCGTTCGAGGGGACACGGATGTCATGTTACATGTTCACATCCGTATTCATAAATCAGAATAAACTGTGGAAATGCGGTGGAGTGAACTCCACGCTTTGGTCTGGAGCTGTGACTGTACGCACACGTTATTATAGAATTATATATTATACATTGTGTGATGTGAGATGAGTAAGACGTAAAACATTGATGATAATTAATAACTTCCGTTTGAGGGGAAGTGTGACTCTTGTTTGATCTAGGTGGCTCTTAAAAGAGCCGTTGTGTTGTTGGGGGTCAGGGACAGGTCGGCTTAAGCCCCTCTCTCCGCGGATGCGGCGGGCCAGCTGGATGTCCTTGGGCATGATGGTGACCCTCTTGGCGTGGATAGCGCACAGATTGGTGTCCTCGAACAGACCCACCAGGTAGGCCTCGCTGGCCTCCTGCAGAGCCATGACGGCAGAGCTCTGGAAGCGCAGGTCGGTCTTGAAGTCCTGGGCGATCTCTCTGACGAGGCGCTGGAAGGGCAGCTTGCGGATCAGCAGTTCGGTGGATTTCTGGTAACGACGGATCTCTCTGAGAGCCACTGTGCCGGGCCTGTAACGGTGAGGCTTCTTAACACCGCCGGTGGCCGGGGCGCTCTTACGGGCAGCCTTGGTGGCGAGCTGCTTCCTGGGAGCCTTTCCTCCGGTGGATTTACGCGCGGTCTGCTTGGTTCTGGCCATTTCTCTGCTCTAGGCGTTCAGTGAAAACCTAAGACGGTATGAGGTACGGGGCGGAGGCAGCTGCTTTTTATAGAAACCAGGGCGAAGCTGATTGGCTGCGCGGGGCTCGCGCTCTGGGTTCAAACTTTAACCCCGCCTCTGCCCCGCGCGCTTGTTCAGAGGTTCACACCGTCCGGTCTACGGTTCACGCTGGTGAAGAACGAGCCTTTGTCAAGATACTATCAGAGGCTTTGTTTACACACGCGCGCCAAAATCAGATTTCTGAGATTAGTTAAATGACTTGCAAAATCCACAAACTCTGATGTGAGTAATGAGAGAAAGAGCATGATCGAGAATGAATCACATGACTTTGCTGTTAACAGGGCATCTCAAACAGAGTAAACTCCAAAAATCAGGTAACAATTTGTTGTTACTGTGTGTTTGTGTTTGTGTGGCGTGTAACCGCGGCGTGTAACCGCAACCGCTCACAAACTTATGTTACGACTCGTACTTTTGTAATAACACGATATCCATTTAAAACGCTAAGGACGCTGTTATATTTTAATCAATTATGCGTGTCCTCTCTGATATCAACCACACACGTTTTTAATTGTATAAAAATATTTTTGTATGAAAGTGCACCATAAATAGGCATAACGTACATGTACTGCTCTCCACACTCACATATGCGGTAACTCATTAATATACTTATTTTATCTACTTCTGTTTGTGCGGTGTAGCAGCATGTGTTTTGAGATATTTGCCATTACAGGAATACTGGTCTGGAGAGGTAAAAACACCTACAGAAGCACCGGGCACAATATTGGACTCTGACAAAGATGAAGCTCTTTAGAGAGAGTGGTGGCTCTTAAAAGAGCCTTTGTGTTGCGGGGGTCGCGTCAGCTGTTACTTTTTGGCCTTCTTAGGGGCGGCCTTCTTGGCGGGGGCCTTCTTGGGGCTCTTCTTCACCGCCTTGGGCTTCTTGGGCGCCGCTTTTTTGGGGCTCTTGGCGGGCTTTTTAGCCGCTGCTTTCTTGGGCGCCGCCTTCTTCGCCGCTTTCTTGGCCGGGGACTTGGGCTTCTTGGCTGCGGGTTTCTTGACGGCCGCCTTCTTCTTGGGGCTCGCTGCTTTCTTGGCCGCGGGCTTCTTAGGCTTGGCGACGGCCTTCTTCTTCACGGTCTTGGGCTTGGCCTCGGTCTTGGCCAGTTTGAAGGAACCGGACGCGCCAGTGCCCTTGGTCTGACTCACGGCACCAGAGGTCACCAGCTTCTTGAGGGTGGTGTTGATGCGCTTGTTGGCCTTGGCCACATCCACGCCCTTCGCGGCCAGAGCCTTCTTCAGAGCGGCCACGGAGACGCCTTTGCGCTCTTTGGAGGCGGCGATCTCGCCGGTGATCAGCTTCTGGAGGCTGGGGCCCTCCTTCTTCTTGGCCGCGGCCTTCTTCCTGGGGGCCTTTGCTTTGGCCGGAGGGGTGGCCGGTACGGGAGCGGTCTCTGTCATGGTTCGGGTTCGTATCGGGTTAGATCCGAGTCTGTGGGCCGGGCGCGCGCGCGGACCACAGTTATAACGCACATGAGAACCGTAGAGACTCAACGCCCTCTGCTCAGCGCCAGTGTCTCCGCTCTGTGTTTTCTCTTCGCAGTTTAAAGTTAAAAATACACAAAGTTTGCATTTTACCCCATACATTGTATACATCAACATTTAGCGCACAGTCCCATCTTTCCATTGAACACATCTAATTAGTCGCGGTAAGGTTTATTTTTTATTATAATACATCAAACCGTCCTGATACCCAGTCTAGGAGGATACTCGGCGTCGACTTTTTTCTACATTTCGCTTCAAATGTGTCTAAACTCTGATTTGTGGTGAAATGTTTGCACTTAAATCGTGAGAGGAGATGTCAAAGAGTAAACACATACATTAAACTTGGTTCTTGAATCTAACGTTTTGATTTAATTAACCTAGGTTTCGGTGGTAGTAAACACAACTGCGGTGACGGGTCAGACTCGGTGTAGCTCTTTAGCTACTCAAACTATTGGCATTTCTGTCATTACTGTTAACATGAACGGTGTTGCAATCATTTACAGAAGTTAGTCATAGTGTTTATTAGGATTCGTGTTTATTAGGATTCGTGAAATCTACAGTTACGCCGTTTGTCGCGTATTTCATCAGGCCAATGGGAATACAGTTATAATACGGCTTAACTGTGGAGACAACACAATCAAGGCATATTGAATACTGTTGCATATTTAATGTTAGGTTTAATATCTATACAATATAACAATATAGATCTGTTTCTTTTTATGCGTTAGTATCATGCATTTATCATGTTTTATTAATATTATCTTTTTTTTTTTAAATTTTAATGATCACCTAAAAATACAGCAAGTAGCCTGTAGTCCTATGTTAACAATAAGGTATGTATTATGCGTATGACCCACTTCTGTGTATAAGATGTACATGATGGTGACAGCAGTAGGGATTACAGTAAAAAAAAAAATATTTTCCCAACTGGATAAAGGATAATTGTCTACATATATTGATTTAATTGTAGTTTTGTGCAATGCATCTTCCATGTAACCTAGCCCAGTGTTTGGAGGGGCACTATAGGGCAGTAGGCAGTGGTAGATGAAATACAATTTTTTGTTACTAAAGTAGTAGTAGTATTTCACCAGTATCTGTACTTTTACTTAAGTAAAAGCATCACATGGAACACAAGATTAGTTTTTTTTTTTTTTAGAACAATTAAAAGGATGAAATGTAGCGATTTTGATAAAGAATTTAGCTGATTTTAAGTGATTCAGTTGATTCAATTGATTTCTTAATTTGTCTGTTTTGTATTTGGCTTGCTCAATGTTGGGGCAGACACTCAACTTTTCTGTTCAGGTCTAAAATGTAGTGGAGAGTGTAGAAAGTACAGATACAAATTCTCAAATGTAGTGAAGTAAAAGTAAAAACTATGCATTGTAAAATGTACGTCAGTAAAGTACAGATACCTAAAACTTGTACTTAAGTATTATACTTTTACTTTTATACTTTGTTACTTTCCACCACTGGCAGTGGGGGGGGGATCACAAGATGATTGCAGCATAGAAATAAAAAATTTATGACAGTATTTAATCAGTTTTCATCGAAAAGCATATATTTTAATGTAATTTGGTCAAATAATACAATATAATATTAAAACAAATATTAAACAAGATTTTAAACATTTTGGCACTTGAAATAATTGCAAGCGTATCATTTCATAGCCAATGTCTAAACAGTCTTAAGTGCCATATTGTTAGAAACAAACAGCCTCCAAGAGACACATTTCTCTAAACGTTTTATAAAAATCAGATACACGCCATTCAAAAGTAGTTGTAATATAATTTTCAGTTTGTGCATTTTTTAAGTTGAGAAGAGTTTTTGAGCAGCTTTGCAATGACATGAACCTGTCCCAAATCTTCGAAGCAGATCTGTAGATTTCTGTTTTAGAGTCTCAGAAACAACTGAAGAAGACCGACCCAAAAGAAGCAGCACGAGGCAGCACTCGAGCACATCTGGACGAGGAAAGCCCTGAGAGAAGTCAACGAAAGGATTAGGAAATTATTATTTCCTAGAGACAAAGTTTGCACAACATGAGATGAGAGACAAGAATGAGTCAAGATTTTGACATAATGTGTACTAAACTAACTAAATTGTGCAATCCAATTCAGTGTTTGGAGCTCACCATTTTAGATTTATGTTATTTTCAAATTTCTGTTTTTTGGGGGGCTTCTGACAAGGTGTATGCCAGCACTTAACATTTTTTAATTTTTTTTTGTCATATCCAAATGTAATATTTTAAGAGGTCCAGATGTTATTTCTTTGCCTGGGATGTTCTCAAGTATGGCATTAAACACATATCTCCATGAAGACAAGCAACTACAGAGTTAGATCTATAGGTGTGCTCATTCACAGTAAGAAATCATGTTTTTCAAGGCATTTAATTTAGAAAAAAAAAGTCTGATATCAAGACGATTAAAAAAAACAAATACATTTTTTTTTATTCCATTTTAGTTTTATATTATCAAATGAGTATCTAGTTTTGCTACTCATTTTAGCACTGATTAGTATCTGAGATGTGTTTATTTATTCATTTTAAATTTTTTAGACAAGTAGTGAAGGAACTCTATCATCTCTCAAATATAGTGTAGTCCTCTGACAACAAAGAAATACATGAAACAGCATTGTACCTTGACGGAGTCTGGCAGCTCTGAGAGTTGTTTTTGATATTGTGACATCTTCATGGACAAAGACAGGAACGTTTCAGGCTCCTCTCTACAAAAACAACAAGTTCAAATATAATCTATGAACAATAAACACAGCTCATAAGTGCCAAATGTAAAAATACAGCATAATTTGGTCTCAATTGAATATTAATATATTAAACACTGCAGGCTTATAAAGTAATATTAAGTAGGATTGGATAAAAATAATGACATCTGAACACACGGAAACCACCAATGACAAAATGCTGTTTTGTATCTGCATGTTTATGTCAAATTAACTTTACTGACAATTTAAGAAGTAAAATTAAGTAAATTCAGTGTTTTTGTAGGTCTTGTAATTATATTGTGACCTAAATAAGCTCAACATTCCAAATTGTGCGTAACATTAATTGGTACGGTTTATCCTCTCACCCATTCGCTGCTTCTTCTTGTCCATGCGTTGCCAAAGTGACTCCATTTTGAGCCTCGTCCTGTCCCTGGGTCTGATGCTTCGACACCAAAGCGTTCAGTTTGTCCTGGATCTCACTCACAGATCTCTGCACAGATTGAGCAGCAGCTGTCGATTCACACAGTAACACCTCCAGTCCCAAATCTGGTCCGGACCCATCCTGATGTTCTTTTGTCCGATCTTCTTCAGTCTGGACATTCCAGTTTACGTTTGGCAAAGAGCTGCTCCACCAGAGTTCATACATTTGGAGGTAGCGGACAAATGATTGTAAACTTAAAGCAGCGGCAGATGGTTCTTCCGAAGACTTCTGACTTGAAAAAACATGAATGTCTCCTGAACAAAAAGGGAAAAAATATCATCGGAGGTGGAGAATCATAGACTGATTTTAAACTTATACCTGGCCTTAAAGTGCATATGACAGGTTCTGATGTTTCTAAATTTTTTTATTAAGTTGGCGAGATAATACATGCTGTAAATATAAATGATAGTTTCACACCAATCAGAAGGGAAAAAGCAAAACGTGCCATACCATCAGGAAACAGTAGATGGCAGAGCTGTGAAAACACTGAGAAGTGCCCACTGTCTTTGGCCCAGGACACAGCCCACCACAGCTCCCTCATCATCTGCTCCTCTTCCTCAGACAGGAAACACAGAAAGGCTCGGGTGAGATGCAGAGAAGATGACAACACAACCTGCAGAGTACAAAAGAACATGCCTTTAATCATGTTATAGAAGTTTACCATACCATAAATATAATCGTTTTACATGTATTTTCTTAATTCACTCTTATTTAAACAGACACATATTATGCCATTTTCTGATCTATATTATACTGTTGTTTCCTCATCACAAACATACCCAGAGTTGTGTTTTGTTTCACTCACAGGTTTAAAACATTAACCCTCCAAATTTAACCCTCCAAATTTAGGCTCTCAAACAGAAAATACTCTATCCCATCTTGTGATGTCATTTGGTAATACAGGAAGTGCTCCACTGTGTTTTTAAACTTCATACACCTTCATTAGAATCATTTGGATAATTCCAGCTCCGGAACTGCCAAACTCCACTGAACTAATATGTAAAAAGTAGCTGTTAAAGGTTATATAGAGGATTTTCCAAGGAAAGAGAAATACAGCGACTGTTTGTCCTTTTTCAAATGTTGCTTATGCGTGACACCACCCCCTCCTCCCTCAGCTCCCTTCTTCAGTGAGAAGAGAAACGCCTCCTCCGTTCTCACACCTCCTCCTTATGCTAGAAATCATGCTTGTTTACAGTTGGTGTGCATTCAGAATTGCTGAACAAATAAATTCCTGTTTAAGTTACCTGTCCAGAAGTAATTTAGCGACCAATGTGTGAGTTTTTAGACCCTTTGTCAGCTTCAGTGCACGCCATTGGAAGGACTCTCCAAGAATCATCTTAGTTTGGCTTTGCTCCTTTTCCCCTTCTCTTCTTCTTTCGGTGACCTCAAAACAGACTTTCTTTTGTGGCTAACTGCCTTGTTATGTATTGGCTAATGTTTAGCTGGCCCCACCACGTTCACAGTTAACGGATTTCATTCTTTTTTTTTGGGATCATTACAAGGCTGGTGCAACTCTATAATGCCATTCTGAACTGTCAGTGACAATTTAAAACTAAGAAAAAAAAAAAATCCTCCATACAACCTTTGTCTACATCTCCAGAGGTCAAAATGCTATGCTACACCTTGTGATGTCATGTAGTTAGACTAATAATAAAGCATTACTCATACATGTGGGAATGACACAAAACTCCAGGTATGTTTTTGAGGAGGTAACAACATTCCAACATAACTCAAAGCTCGCAATTTTGTGTATTATAGGACCTTTAAAGAAACCACTATTATTATGTGCTGAAATTTGCATTATAGGTGTGTTTTTTCACAGTTTTCTTTTAACATCTTGGTGAATTGGGATTATTTAAAATTGTACCTGTTTTAGTGGAACATTTGCCGTTGGTTGTGGGCCCTCTGCAGACTTCAATTCTTGTAATAAACTTTTAACACTTCGAGGTCCTTCAGATGTGTGCGAAACTCCCAACTTTTCATCCCAAACTTGCTCCACTCGTTTTATAAATGAGATGTTTTGGTCTGTTGTCTCCCATACACCACTGCACACTCCTGATGATGCAGGAAAGACTCCAGATTCAGACAAAAACTGGGACAAAAACTCAGCCAAAGAGAAGTGAAGCCTATGAACCTGTGAAAAGAAAACCTTTTCATTAGGTGTGTTACGAATCACAAAAAACAAAAACATGGTTTATTTCTTAGTATTGAAGTCGAGAAATTTTAATATTGTAATAATACTAGACTAATTCAATTGTAATGGAGATAAAGATTCATTTGTCCGGCACTAGTCCAGTTGTCATGTAAATCCAACGTTAAGACATCCTTCTTATAATAGTTGTATTTGTGCGATTTTTATTTTTTCTGTAACTGCAGCTGTGAGCCTCATCATATTGGTCTTAAATGATTGTATTAACCTGCTCTACATGACCCTGGGGTTTTATTTAGCTATTTTGTCTGGAGCCAGGCTCTATTATGATTAGGATTTTTTTTAACAAATTTCCTCCTGTAACCACTAGCATCGCGAGCTTAATCTGAATGGCGTGGACACCATGGGTGGGGTTACACTAACTTAGCCCATTTCTATATAAAGTCTATGGTTTGGACTGACCAGCAGAGCTTCCTGGTTTCGTAGGACTTCTTGAACACTGCTCCAGTCCTGAGTCTGAGCCAGTTCTTTGGCACATCTAAGAGACAGAGACTGGGACAGAGCTGCCTCTCCACAGATCTGAGCCATATCCGCCGCCACTCGGAGAGAAGACACTTCGTTCTTCCTGGAGATCACTTTAGCAGCATCGAAACTGGAACCAGCTGCAAGATAACTGATAAAAACACAAAGGGTGAGTTTAATTTAAAATATTATTAGTTTTGAACAGCACATAAATTATCCACAGCTATAAATCAGAAAATGAAAAGCTCAATTTTTAGTCCATGTTACAGTGTAATATAGGTCCTTTAACATGTGTCTTAATGACTGCAAAACTACTGCCAGATCCCTTTTGAAGATGGTCCTAAAAATACGCATCAGTAACAAAATCTGTAAAATCTAAAGCCGACAGCGCCCTCTGCTGGAGTGAGTAACTAACTTCATTTCTGTGACGTGTGGAGTGGGAAGGGCAGCGACGAGGAAGAGCATTTTTAGCTCACACCACACTGCACTGGGATTCACTAACAGCAAGCGTTTTTTTTGTTGTTTTGTTTTGTTTTTCTATAATCCAGGAAAAACTGACAAAATGACTGAATTTTTTGAAGATCTTTTGACTTGTAAGCTGTGTCTGGACACGTTTAAAGACCCTGTGACTCTGAGTTGTGACCACAGCTTTTGTTTCAGCTGTCTGCAGAAAAACTGGGCACAAAACAAGACTGAAAACTGCCCCATTTGTGGAAGGAAGTCAACAAAAGATAATCTTGTTGTGAACAGCACTCTTAAGGAAATGGCTGATTCGTTTTCTCAGAAGCAGAAATCCAAAACACAATAAGAAGAGGTCAATGCCATGAGGAACCCGGATGCCCTTCCATGCTTAAGAAAAGACGAAGACCAAGTAGGCGTGGGTTATACTGACAAAAACAGCATACATTGATTTTTTTGTTCCTGTTTTTTCCAGATTTTTTTCCATACAATTTTTGGTTTGGGATTGTGATGTCATTTATGGATTTTCATTTGGGAGATTTCTTATCTTGGTTGTTGGATAAATCTAATGGAATGGGCTTCATCACTAAAATAAATACATATAAAGTTCAATATTTGTGAGTCTTCATTTGCAATGTTTTCAATGAAATCAAAGTATAATCTGTGGGTTCTTGTCTTGAGGGACACCAGCAAAATTGACAATTGATACTTTGCAGTGATATCACGCTGGGGGTGTTCTTCATGCATCTCTATAGGTGGAATGTTCAGCAGTTACCATGGTGACACAATTAGCAAACAGACAAAAATGTTTTAACATCCTGTTTAGGTGTTTGATTTTCAACAAAAAAAGGTGGGAGTGACAATTGGCAAATGCTAGCTATGGTGGCTGTAATTTTACATGTGAGAGACTTGTTTTACAGCACAAATCATCTCACATGTTGTAGCTCCAATCAAGGCAGCTCTTTCTGGTCAGATTGTGTTAAAATAAATTCAGATTGAAGTCTAACTTGAGTAACAGAGCTTTTAACAGAGTAGTGCTTCAGTTGGCCTCACACCCCCAGAGAATGTTGAAGACATCGGCTGCAAAGTATCAATATAGAAACAAATAGAAGACACTGCAGATAGACGTCTGTGTAATCCCTCAGTCGGCCAGAGATGATTCATAGCAAAAGAAAATTTCAATGACTGAATACGTGTTAACGCCCCAGCAACCTGATTCACTTGGATGAGGATGAAATGTCTTCACTCAATTTTTTTTTTTGTTCTGTTCACAGAACTGAATTTTCAGTTTGCTGCATCGCAGATGACTATGAAGAGAGTCATTATAAAATACCCAAACACCGGCATAGGCATGTTGATTCAGAGCTCAGAGTTGTGTTAAAGCAGCTGCGCCCTTCAAACCAAATAAAATGTAGTTTGGCTAGTCTCCTTCTAGGCTGAGGCAAGTTTAGATCTCCCTTTTAGAAATCACTGATCTACACCTTAAAAATCATGGATATAGTGTATTTTTAACAGTCTATTTCTAACAATAATACAAATATAATAATTATTAAAAATGTGTTAACTGTACACTGCAATATTGCCCTAAATCAAATATATAATATAAAAAAAAAATTACTTTGCAGTGACATCACGCTGGGGGTGTTTCACATATATGTGTACTGGTAAAAATCTGCTCTTTATGATCAGATTGTGTTCAAATAAAACTCGGACAATTACAATCTAAGTTTAGTAACAGACTTCAGGCAAAGTAGTACTTTAAGTTGGCATTACACCTCCAGGCAATGTTAATGACTGCAGCTGCAAAGTATCAATTAACTTGTTTCTCCAGTACTTCCTAAAACTACTACTTACTAAAAAGACAAGATACTAATGAGGAAAACCCATTATAACATAGTAAAATTGTATAATCTTTCTCTTACCATTTGGCGGCTGCAGAGAAGTGTCCGTCTTTCTCCAGCACCGCAGCCCAGCTCTGGTACAGCTCCTTCAGAACCAGGTCGTCCTGAGGCAGCCGGGCCTTCACCAGAGTGATGGCCTCTCTGAGAACAAACAAATCAGAACATATTGAAAACATGTAGGGATATAAAATTATCCAAATATTGTGGTAAATTCAGAAAAAAGGCACCGTACCCAATATGTTCCCATGTAATTGAGCAAAATTTGTCTTGCCCCAGTACAGATATATAAGCAGCTCTCTTGCCATCTATATTTAAGTAGAAAGCATTTTATTGTTTGATAATTATGAATATATAAGGGATTATTAGCATGCCAGTTGCGTGCCAAAACTCTGCACTGGTCTCCAAGAGCTGTGAAAAGTGCTTATAGCTCTTTGCCGTTAATAATTTGGACTACTGAAAACCATTTACAATTTATTAGTTCTTGTTTCTTTTCACAGTCCAAATCAAGACAATAAAACACGGCAAACAGTACACATCAGTCTTATTTTCTACTCAATATATCTGTATCTTATACAATATATCTGTATTGAGGTGAGACAAACTTGGCTCAATGACATGGACTGCTGACAAATCACAACTCCAGGTACATTAGTGACATGACATGAGGAGATGAGAAGGTCCTTTAAATAATGTTCAAAATTGGGGAAAAAATGCACACAAAATCATTGTTTTTTGACAATAACCACGGCAGACCGTGAAAGCGTCCACGCAAAGTAATAACATCTCCATGGAAATAAGCACCATACTACACCATACTACATGACGTGACTGACCTGTAGAGTTTGTGAGCTCTGAGGAGGTCTATGGCTTCGTGCAGTTTGTTGATTGACAGTAAATGAGAAGCTGCTTTGACAAACTGCTCCTGGAGACATAACTGTTTGACATAAGAGCCTACAGCTGCGCTCCAAACACAGAATCCAGCTGAGGGAAAAAGAAAGGGTGAGAAACCCAAATCTACAATATGAAACCACATGCCTTAAATGCCACATTACAATACAACATCAACTGAAATACCAAAAACAATTGCATTAGAATTTGAGTCATAGTTATAGGTAGAGCTCCAGTTTGCAGTCCTATAATTACGCAAAATTGACTTTTGTGAGCTTTAAGCCATGTTGTCTCCTCAAAAACACACTTGGAGTTGTGTTTTGTTTCATTCACACGTTTGCGCTGCCTCCAAAGCTCAAAAATCCTCTGTTCCTTCTTGTGTTGTCAAGTAATGGTAGTTTTCAAGTTAACATCTACCTTTAACCTTTTGTTGAGTATAAATTGGCAATTCCAGGGCTGAAATTATCAAAAAGATTCTAATGAAGGAGTATGGAGTATAAAAAAACATTAGAGCACTTCATGTATCACCACATGACGTCACAAGGTGGAGTGTTTTCTATCTGAGAGATAGATCACCTAAATATGCAGGATTTGCGTGTTAAACGTGTGAATGAAACAAGAGACAACTCTAGGTATGTTTTTGATGAGGAAACATTATAACATCAATGAGATCAGATTTCGATGTGAAAACGTAATAATTGTTTAAAAAAATATATATAAATAATAATAATAATAATAATAATAATAATCAAAAAGTATTCCAGGTTCCTGTTCATACCCATTGGAGCCAGAGAAAGCAGGTGGTCATTGAGCTCCCCTTTCTCTGTGGCCAGCTGTAGTGCCCCCTGCAGGTCACCACTCCACAGTCGTAGGTAAACAACAGATTCAAAGTGTCCTGCCTCGAGATGGGCCTCCTCTGAAGACACATACATTTAAAGGAATTGTATATAGCATGTGCTCCTACTGTTTAAAACAAAGGAAAGCTTGTGAAACTACAACTAAACCTGGGTTTTGTTATTGCTGTTAAAATTGGTCCATTTATATCAATGTTTTGGAAAGGACATTCAAAGTTGTTGTTTTTTTTGGTTTGTTTTTTTCCACATGTTAACAAGTTTGAGGTTTACTGAAAGATTAAAATATGAAATTAAGTAAAAATTACCTTCTGCCTCAAACATTCGGTGCAAAGCCTTTCGATCAGAGAATAAACCCAAATGGACATGATCCCCTTGTCCCGGGATGCAGCCTACAGGGGGCACTGCAACAGACAAATCACAAAAATACTGATCAATCTGTTAACAATACAATACTGGAGCCAGTAGCACAGTATCAATACTGATACCGATTACTTTGGTTTGGTATTAAAATATGGTTACTAGAGTTGAAGTTGAAGTACAAAATGGTGGTCCACAAAAATAATTAGGACTGGTTTGTGTATTGATGTATATTTGATTTGAGTCCATTCTATTTCTGGTTTAGATATGGGTTTAGACCCTGTTTTGTCCCAGTTTCGATGTGGAAAGTTTATGCCAAGTTTGTGCAAGTGTGAAAGCACCCTTACAATGAGAAGAATAACTGTTACACTATTTTTTTTTAAATTATAGTTTAGTTTTATTTTAGGAGTAAAAGTATTGTGTCTTTAGTACCGTGAGTAGTAAAATAGTTTAAAGTTACTCAAGTAAATGTAACAGTCCTACCCACCATTGTGTGTGACTGAGGCCAGAGTGACGCAGTCCTGGAGCAGCTCGTCTTTGGGCCGATGGTCCATGGACGTGCTCAGAGGAAGCATCGAACGAGGTTTTTTCTTTTTCATGGAGGACACACTCACCTCTGGGCAAAAAGTAATACCAGTAATAATAATTATTCATTTCACTATGTGTTTATGCATACAGTATGCTTCTGAATTGTTTTAGATGGATTAACTAATGTTTTCTGTGCACATTTTATATTATTTACTATTTAAATATCTAATTTACCTATCTAGAACTCTTGAGAAATTTATATTGCTGGCAAGGTTAGTATGCAGTAACTTAACTTAATAACTTAACCTTTACCTGGTTTGTCTTTATTCTTCACAGCAGCAAGAAAAGGTTTTCTCTGGCTCTCATTATGAACTGAAAAACACAAATTATTATTGTCGGTCATTTTAATTTAAATTAAATTTGTATTTATTTTGTTGTATTTACCTATTGGAGGCAGTGAGCTGTTTGTGGAGCTGGTCTCATCCTCTTCTTCAGATAAAGCCCCTACAGTTGAAAGAGTCTTCTCTCCATTCACAACAGTGCCACCTCCTGGCTGCTTCTTGGCTTTGCTTTTCTTCTTTTTCTCCTTGAGCTCAACCATTTTCTTCCCTAAAATGACACTCAACAAGTTACCATCTATTCCAGTATCATGATAGGGAAATTAAGTATATTGATCCAGCGTACACATTTTTTTATTCTTAAAAAGTATCAAATGGATGTTATTGTTTTGTCTCTAAAGTTTTACAGTATGGCATGAAAACCCATCTCCATGGAGACAAGCAGATGATACCATTAGACAGACAAGCAGGTGACGTACCCACTATCAGAAAAGTTTCATGTTATACCCTTAACACTAGTATCATACACACTTTGTCCTGGTTATGTCTTGCTCTAGCTGTGCACTAGTGTACCCTCCTCCACTGATGCAGTTAAATTTAGCTGGCAGTAAATACAGTAGTAGGGTTCAGTAATATGGCAAAAAGGCCTGTAGTTGACTGCAGAAATTCTTGGTCAACTTAAGACATAGAGGCTTTGTGCATCAATTAATCAACTAAAAGTGGGCGTGGCCTGAGCTCACAAAACAATCTTGTAACTGTGAAATACAAGTAGTAAACAACGTATTCATATGTTCAAAGGAACATTAAACTCATGCTCCCCTCAAAAAGCTATAGCTACATCACCCCCTGCCTTCTTTCTTCTTCTACTGTGAAAGCAACAATGATTTGACTAATAAAAGCATTGGTTGACTCTCAACTAAACAGCTGTAACTCTATTGACCTCTCAAAGTTTATCAATTATGTTTTGAAACCACTGGATCTCAATAAAAGTGTGATTAATTGCACAGTTTTAGTATAAAGCTTGATAGTTGCTGGGTTGTTGTTCACCTTTGGGAGGCTTATCAAACTCTTGCTTGGACACTCTCCACTCGTGAACAGTGAAGTCTTTTCCTCCGGTCCAAACTGTGTCAGGATCCAGAGGAGACCAGTGTACACACAGCAGGTTTCCATGGTGACCGCGATAGTTACACACTGGGGCCTCCTGCAGGACATCCCACACCTACAATGTACAGGAGGAAGAGCTGCTCTCAGGGTTTGTGAAGATATGGGGACTTTAATGAGCTTTTAGCCATGTTTAAACAGTGATCAATCATTATTAACTTACTCAGAGCTGTATTTTTGTCTGTTTTTCAATAGAAAGTGAATTGGAGCCAGTGGGTTAGCTATGTCCATTCATATATACAGTCTATGGTGCAGCCCTAACTAATATGTTTTTCCCCCTCCCATTGCTCCACTGGTTTGAAGGAATTTACAGACCTGAGCGGTGCCGTCGTAGCTCACGGTCACCAGGCGGTCGTCATGGTGATGGCTCCAGGACATTCCGGTGATTTTGGCTGTGTGTCCGCTCAGTCTGCGAAAGGGTTCTGAGATGACAACCACACTGTCCCCGGGGGAGTCTGAATATACATAGAACATTTAACAAAATAATTTAAACAGGGAAAGAATAATGAACATAATTTACAACAGGAACACATATGCATTTGCACAAAAAACAGACTAATTTCTAAGAATATAAAATAACTATACAACAATACGTATATTCAAATATAGCACTTTCAATGTTAATGCGGTGAGGCCATATTGAAAGTGAGAATTTTATTTTTTTTTTTTCTGTTTAAAAAAAAAAAAAAAGGGATGTTGTTAAGTTTGAGGTACCAAACTAAGTAAAGGACACTTTCTTAGACAATAGAATGTGATTTCAACATTAAATCATAGAGCTTTTAGATTACCATGTGGCCTTATATTTGTGTAATCCTTCAGTCACCCAGGTAGGTTTTATAGTGGTCCATGGACATATACTAATCTATGTAGTCTTCTTATTCTGATCCAGCTCAAGTTAATTCTAAAGCTAATCAGGAAAGGTTCATTTCTGTTCTGTGAATGTATCGATTTTTTTATTATCAATACCTGCTCAAATGAGTATCTAGTTTTGATACCAGTTTTAAGATTGATTAGTATCTTTTGCAATACTTTTGCAGGTGTGGGGGTTGGGTTGGTGGGTAGGTGGGTGGAAATGTGGGATTGTTTTTAATCTCTGTAAAGCACTTTGTGTTACATTTTTGTATGAAAAGTGTTTTATAAATAAAGTTTGATTTGATTTGATTTGACTACTGACAACCCTTCGTCTCACCCAGTACTTGTTTGAGGTCATGGATGTAGACAATGGCATTGCTGGACCCGGATGCAAGTAGACCACTGAGCTCGGGGCTGTGAAGGCCGTGGTGCCAGCACAAACAGTTTATGATCTTATGGTGCTGCTGGATACTGCACAGGTGCCTCAAACTTGGGGCTTCATACACATCTATACAACTGCAGCAAAACAGAGTGGACAGTCAGGGAGTTAGTGAAACCTTTAAATGTTATGCATAGTAGGGGTCCATTAGAGCTTGGGATTGAAAGTTAAAAAAATGCACGTAATTGGTAACATGTGGCAAGTGATTCAATAATATTGTATGTTTATTGATTATTACCATAAAAATAATAGAGGAAACATTTGGTTTTGTTCTTCTAAGAAATAAAATAATGAGAAAATAGTATAGCAGCATCACCAGTTTTTAGCCTTAGTCTTAATCTTAGTCTTAAAATCTCCATCAGTGTAACTGTAAATTCTGAAAAGGTGTGACAAAGCAATCCCAAACTCTTAATGAAGTTATTACATTGCATACTGCAAAATTGTATTGATTCTGACAGCATGAAAATATAATACTGACCCATCCTCGTTGCCAATGGCCACAACTTTTCCATCTGGTTTCCAACGTAGGTCTGTGTGAGGAGACAGTTTATGCTGATGGGAAAGAAAAATATATTCCTGTGATGTCAGGATTCACCAATTTTACAATTAACAGTTACAATGAACTGATTATTGGAACTTAAGTGGTGGAAAAAATAAATTGCTTTATATTATTGTATAAGTACAAAGCAGACCTGTACAGCATTACATAGGTATTTATGAATAAACTCAATGTCAATATTTAAACCAATTTCAAAGGTGCATTGGGTTGTTTTAGAGTAAACTTGGCCACCTCTCCACAGATCTGACTTATATATTTTCCAGGTTATTGCTCGTCTATATGGAGATAAATTCAATGCCATACTGTAGAACATTTTTTAAGCAAAGCAGATACATCCTTGAAGACAAGCAACATGCCCTCCACCACAAAAGTTACACAATGCACCTTTAAAGTCCAACCACCACACAAATATGATACAAGAAATTAACAAACATGGCTTCTTACCCTACATAAATACACCCCTAAGCTGCCACTGACTCACCTGAATCTTATTGGTGTTTTGATGAGTTTGTCGATGTCAAACGCTTCTCCACTGAGTTGGTGTGGATCATGTTGAAGAATGGTGCCCTCTCCTGCACAACTGTACAAACTGAAGGCAGACTTTCCCCTTGAGGATCCTAACAAAATGAAAAGTTAGACAGCTTAAAGGTGCTCTCTGTAACTTTTCTGGTGGGTTGGTCCACCTGCTAGTGTCATGAAGATGCTATTGCTTTTGCGTGGAATGTTCAGTATGACATTTAACTCCTCTTCATAGTGACAAACATACCAGGAGTATGAATGTATGTTTTTAAGGTATTTATAGATAAATTGGATAATTTCAGGCAATGCAGGGGCACTTCAGACAAGCAGGTGGCGAAGCAAGAAAAGTTACACAGTGCACCTTTAAATACATATTATGAAGAACAAATACAAAATAAGTTATATATGTTTTGTATTAAATGAGCACATCTTACCAAATGACAGTGGTGGAACAGGTGGACCCCAGGCCAATGTGTAAACAGTTTTTTTGTGATAAGAGCTTGAAATCTCAGGAGGCCTTAAAAAGAAGACAGAACGATTTACCACTGCACTTAGAGCTATATTTAATCCTGACACACAACAGGTTAAAAGGCATTGTGTGTATAGTCTCTCTCATATGTCAATAAAGTTTGTTATAGTAGATTTGTTTTTACTTGTTGGAGAAGACACCATAGATTCCAACTTTTCCATCGTCTGTACCAAACGCCAGTACCCCCTCTTTCTCTGGGTGCCAGGCCAACTGTAAAAAAACAAGAATATTAAAATGTTACTAAAGGAACAGAGAGACTGTGAGAAAGACAACGGGAGCTCTACCACTGGCCAATGCAAAAGAGCAGTTTTGTTAATTTAATACTCGATAACATTCTGATTTTCATATTGTCTATAATAGCTGGTTTCAGTGGTTGATTATACATCATTGTGGCCTCAGTATGTGCGTATCTCTCACCGCAGTGACTTTGGACTTGATTCCCTGCCAGAAGCAGCGCGTGTCATACAGTTTGGAGCTCTGCGTGTTCCAGACTCGGATCATGTTGTCCCCGACTCCAAGCGCCAAAGTCCCAGACCCCAAAGGAGAGAAGCAGAGGGAGTATACAAAGCCTCCCAGAGAGGGCAGGGTCCAGCACAGCTCAAGAGAGCTCATGTCCCAACACTTTATCTGGAGACAAGAGGAACAAAACATCTTTATAATACAGACAGAAATCAAGAAATCATTCAAATAATCAATTAAAGAGACACTATAACTTCCACCACCACCATCACCACAATAAAGCATTTCACTTTTCCATCTCCATAAGTATGTGGCAATACCAGTAACAGGTTAAGGTATTTTTGAGCAATAAAGACTCCTGTGTGAGTGATTAAATACAAGATAAATGCCACAATGGAACATTCCAGGCAAAGTATGAACCAGACAAATCAGCAGACATGGGTAACAAAAAAAAAAAAAAAAGATGAAAGAAGAAAGAGCAAAATAAGACAGGGGTGAGGAGCAAAACTTCTAAATGTACATTATATAATGTGTATTATTCAAAAGAGACATTGTCATGTGTAGTTTTACTGTTCAATCTTGGAAAAATAAAATCTGGTGGTGTAGGGCACCCAAATTATTCCGCTAAGTTGTAAATACCTCTCTGTCCATGGAGGTGGAGAGGAGCAGCTGTTGTTTCTGAGTTTGGACGGAGCTCGTGTTGAAGACGATTCTGTTGTGGTTTTGTCCATCTGAACTCAACCCAAACAAACTCCACTTTTGTTTCCCTGACTTCAGCAAGTCCCACAGCAGCAACTCACCACTAAAATACACAAAAAACAAGTTACATTTAATTCAAGTTTAAAATAATTGTATTAAAAATATCCTACAGTATGCAACAAAGGACCTTCCAGGAAACTAAGATCCCCATAATGGGTAAATTCCAGAGCAGAACTAGAACTTAATAAGTGGATAAACCAACAGATTATATAGGAGCACCAATGTGAGTATAACAAGATCACTATCTAGTTTAATGTCCATGCACATTGCTCATTGTTGTAATATGCAAGATGTAAGATCAACTGTTATTATACTGAAATAGCAATTTGAATGGACAGAGTTAGCAAATTGCAAAGGCTGCAATTAATAATTTCCTCTATATACAACAAAATATCCTAAAATATGTTTTATTGTCCATAAAAAACTGCTAACCCTATAGTCTAGATCTGTACAAATGTTATGAAACATGATTCTTGTATTAGTTTGTCATTTCATATTTGATTTGCCAGTTCTTTGTGTTTAGAATGTGAATATGGCCACTTTTAGTCAAGTAAACAATCAGCAGGACAAGTCTTTAGTTGACCAAGAATCCCTTTAAAAAAGGACAGTACAGTTTTACCTAAAACAACTAGATATGACTTGTGTTCTTCGCCCTTTGGGCCAGTGAACGCTGAGCCACAGTCGCTCTTTCACTCCGGGATCCACCATTGACCCCCTTTTCTTCAGATAAGGCAGTTTCAATGTCATCACACCTGAAAATAAAAAACATAATTGACTGTAATATTAAAGTTTTCTCTGATCAAAAGATAGTATGAGTATTATAGTATTAGTACTTTTGCCTCTGTTGGTGCTCCAGATCCTCAAAGTCTGGTCTCTACTTCCTGAAGCCAGCAAACAGCCCTCTCCCCAAACACTGCCAGTCACACCTCCTGTAAAATATAATACATATAGATACATTATTATACTCAAATGTGTGTTTATTAAGCAATTGCAATGCCCCTTCAGATAAGAGAAAGCTGGAAGTTGTTTTTTGTTTTTACCTCTATATCAAAAGACCAAAGATAACATGAACAAATGTGTTATTTAAGCTACTGAAGCTAGCATCGAAACAAGATATTCATTAGAACAGGTTAGGGTTAGAACAATTGGTCTCTTTACCATCACTGTCCTCAATTCGGTCGTAGAGGACGCCCTCTCCTAGCTCTGGGCTCCAAGACAGAGAGTGGATTTCATCATCATGTCCTCTCAAACGATGGATGACTTCACCTTTTTTACTGACGTCAATCAGCACAATCATCCCATCTTTGTACCTTTAAAAACATTACAAGTCTTTATTACAGTGAATAAAGTTGATAAAGTAGCCCTAAGCCTGCAATAATAATTTTGTTTTGAATCAAAATGAATTGTCTTGTTATTATATCTTCAGACATTTCTTTTAATTATGTATCTAATGAAATGCATTATAATTCACTTTTAAAGACATACTGAAGGATTTATGGTACACACTGCCAACATTGTCCCTCACAAAAATAACAGTGACAATATTCTTACCCGACTGCCACATGGTTCCAGGTGTGAGGGGAGCAGCTCAGGCAGAAGATGGTTCGAGGTTCAGGGAAGAAGCTGCTGCTGTCCCCAGTGTTGAACCAGTGACAAACGACCACTCCTTTCTCATCTCCAGAAACAACCAGGTTTTTATCCACAGGAGACCAGTGCACCGCCGAGACGGGGTTCTGAACCCACAAGAAGATTACAGAAGATAAAAATGAATTATCTCTGAACTTTTAAAATGCCTATATTATGCATTACACTGTCTTCTAAAAACTACTTTGGATCCCGGTCGTTGTCCTGGATAATAACTTGAATGAAATGAATGAAAATAATACATTGGATTTATATAGTCCCCAAAGCAGTTTATGTTGCATTATTCATTCACTACATACTTGGTAGGGGTAGACTGACAAAAGTTAGGCTACCTCCCTCCCACCAACACACTCTCTCACACACTCTCTCACACACTCTCTCACACACACACACACACACACACACACACACACACACACACACACACACACACACACACACACACACACACACACACACACACACACACACACTAGGCCAGGGGGTAAGGACATAACAACATGCACTAGAAACACTATTGTGGCACTTGGTATGCCCAGCAGTGTCCCATCCATGTACTAAGCAGGTCCAAACTTACTTGACATGGACACAGCTTGTATTAGATCTCAAAATATAAAAAGTACAACTAATTAAAATAAAACTGCTAATTGCTAAAAGTATCCAAAAGCTTTTACAAATGGTGACTACACTGATCATCCATTGTTTTGGGTGTGTCTGACCTGATGAGCTGTGACTTCCTTGAGAAGGCTTTTAGTTTCTGTGTCCCAGAATCGGACGGTCCCATCGCAGGAGGAGCTGACGCAGATGTGGCTCTGACCTGAGTGCTGACAGAAGCTGAAGCTGGACACCAAGTCTTTGTGGCCCACCAGCTCACCTACAAATAAAGGAGAAAACCTTATAAGAACAATGTAATTTCAACAAAATGACACTAACCCTAACCCTAATGACACAAATCAAGGTATATCATGTGTTTATAAGAACAAGTACTTATCAACATGGGTTAGTTGTACCCTGTTATTAAATATGAATCAATTGATCTCTCTAAACAGGCCAATAGTAAACAACAGTGACAATGTGTAACCTGCCCACGATAAAAAAAAATATATATATTAAAAAAAAAAAAAAAAAATCCATCTAGCCCTATTCTCAATACCCCTACCCTTTTCTCTCCACTGAATTCCTCATCTTTCACCAGTGTATTCATTTGTAAATTACCTCTTCACAAACTACATGCCACTTGGTCTGTACTTAAGTGAATAAGTAGTAATCATAGGGTCAACAGCTTAAGTTAAAATAATACAACTGCGCTTGGCAAATGATAATAACTAATACACAACTAGCAGACGTCACAACAAGGCAATACAGTCAACACAAACTTTGAAAGCTTGTAAGTAGGCTTAGGTTGAAATTGTTACAAGTCTACAAAGTTAACTTGCTTAAAGTCTAAAATAACTAAAATAGATTAAACTGACTGTATCATTCTCCACCATAGTAAACTTACCTGTGACTCTGCAACTGGAGGCAGACACTTGAACTAAATAAATTGTGTTTTTAGCTCCAAACCCGAACAAACCCGCTTCGTTAACATCACTGCACCGGGAGCAGTACCAGTTCGGAGCGGCGGGCAGGCAGCGCTGGTGCATTTTGTCCCACTCGAAGGTTTTTAAGGTTTAACAGGAGAACAAATTCAACAGAGCATCTCACATGTTCCGTCCCACAACGTAGGATCCACATTGCCTGCCGTATGCATCATCTTTCTGTCGTAAATCTACCGGCGCTGAGTACGGTGTCTGACGCAGGTCATAGTTAATAGGGTTTTCACGATTTGTGTTCAAAAAGTATTAATTAAATATCCAAATACAGAGTAATATGTTGAAATTATAATCTTTATTACATTATTATTATTATTATTATTATTAGTATTAGTAGTAGTAGTAGTAGTAGTAGTAGTAGTAGTAGTAGTAGTAGTAGTAGCAGTAGTAGCAGTAGTAGCAGTAGTAGTAGCAGTAGTAGCAGTAGTAGTAGCAGCAGCAGCAGCAGCAGTAGCAGCAGTAGTAGTAGTAGTTTTTTTTTTTTTTTTTTTTTTTTTTTTTTTTTTGTAAACATGCCTGCCGTAAATACAATTTTAGTGTCGCAAAAAGAAAAATGGCGACCTCGTTGACAGGACGAGGTGAGAAAGCAGCTACAATTTTCCACCAATATTCATATTCATTTCGTTAAAGTAATACTGTTTTAACATGGCATCAATATTTCCAGGTCTAGCCTTCATCAGGACGTTACCGAACCTGGTACATTCACGGTAAGTACACGTATAAAATATCCGCTTACTGCGCTGGCTACTTTAGCTTTAGCATCTCGAAGGACGCTCTGCACAGACACTCGCATCACCGCTGTAACTTTCAATCAATGGATTTCAGAATTATGAAAAATTATGACCGCTGCCAATACCATAGCGACTAACAATGTGAAATAGTATATTATCTTTTTAGTGTGGAAAGTCCTCAAAATGTGTGATTAATAATACAAGTAAATATGCATGTTCTTTCTCAGTTGACAACTATATTGTTGTTGTAAAACACTGTAAATGGTTTATGCATTATTGGTGATAATGATCATCTTACGGTTACCCTAATTTGTAAACATGTTTGAGAGAAAGGTAGTGCACAGACCCACCTTGTTTTTGCTTGTATGAATGCATGATTGGTGGTGGCTGGAGAGGCCATAAACGCATATTTTAAGCCACGTTTCCCAACAGTCTGATCCAGGCATTAGCTTTTGAGAAATAAATGAACTTATTTTGACTGTTTATTTCTTCTCAGGTTGCCATGGTTGGCGGCTCCCCAGCAGTTGTCCTGTTTTCACACCAGTGTCTCTTTAGAGGGACGGAAATGGGATCAAAAAAATCTGAAAGTTTATCCTCCTCAGTTGCCAGATGAACCACGCAGACCAGCCGTGTGTATCTTTCAAGAAATATTCAAACTATTTTATCAAAAACAAAGGCAATTGCTAAATAAAATTAAATGTTTCATGCAGGAAATCTATCATAGCAAGAGGCAGTTCAAATACAGCAAAGACAAATTGTGGTATTTGGCCAATCTGGTGAGTAATAATGTGCATCATTAAATGAAAGAATTCTTCATAATTATTTGTGCATTTTGAAATTGTTGATTAAAACATGTTTGGTCATCCCTACAGGTCAAAGGATTGAGCATTGATGAAGCAATTGCCCAACTCGAATTCAATGACAAGAAAGGAGCCAAGTTCATGAAAGAGGTAGGTTAAACATTTAAACATGTACATTATGAGCAAAAATCACACAAAAATAATTTAGTGTGTTTATGCCAGAGAATTAAATATGAAACTGGGGGGAAAAGGAATACAAGTGTCATATCCGGTATGGGAAAGTCAAGTTACACGATTGAGGAAATGTGTTTAGAAAGTGCAACTTTCAGTGGTGCACAAATATTGTAATGTGGCAATTTAAGGTTAGTTGCTAATTGATTTTTTTTATTTAATTTTTTTTTTTTTTTTTTATTAATCAATTAGCTGTGAAACTGCTGAACCACCTGGTTATTTATTTGTTTATTTATTTTTTATAAACATTAAATGTACATATTTTCAACCACTAAATTAGTTGATTAACTTAATAATCAATTAACTTAACTAAAATAATTGATTGATTTCTGTCTTGTTTTAGTACTTTTAGTACTTTTACTTTGTGTACGAATTGTGCTATACAAATAAACTTGCCTTGCCTTGCCTAGTATTCTATATTATTTTTCTTTCTAGGTTCTCCTTGAAGCTCAGGAGATGGCTGTTAAAAACCACAATGTAGAGTACAAGTCCAACCTGTATATAGGTGAGTTTGCATCGGAGTGTTGAATTAAAGTATGTAACTGAAGATCTTATGAAAATACTGATTCTGCATGTGAAATTAGGCCTATAAATGCGTCCATTAAAATTATTTTAGAAGAGCATGTAGCCATTGATTTGTCATCCCTATATAAGTTGTGTCTTTACTGAACTTCCTGACATAATAATCCCATAAATATTTTTTGTAGGGCTACATGATAAGAGAAAAATATGAGTTATTTGATAATATTTTGCATTACGATATCTGGATACGCTTTTGTTACAATAAGTCCAATTCATTAAAACAAAAAATGCACATGCCATGCCTTCATTTATTAGTCAAAATGTGTTAAAATAAAAACTTAAGGACAAAATCAAGACCAAATGACCAATTCTGTGAAATTGAGAACTTTGTTTCAATATATTTATTTTCTTGCAATTTCAGTATTTCTGCAATATATTGTGCAGCCCTGATTTTTTATTTTTTTTTTGTATATATATTTGTATCAAAAATATTTAGCTTTTTTTTTTTTCCTCAGCCGAGTCCATGTCTGGAAAAGGTAAATACCTGAAGAGGATCCGATATCACGGCAAAGGCATGTTCGGCATTATGGACAAAGTTTACTGTCATTATTTTGTCAAACTCGTCGAGGGTCCTCCGCCCAAAAAGACACAAAAGACCAGTTTAGAAGCAGCAAAAGAATATGTCCAGGGACTCAAGAGCCGTACGGTCATCCACAGTTTATAAACCAATGTCTAATCAATATCAGCTTTTTCTAGTCATATGTGTGAGTGTGAATGTAAATAAAAGGAACGAATGAACAACTCAGCCATTTTTTATTGTATTTTTTCTTTAGGCCAGCACATTAAAATACACAATTCAATCAATGTTGTGCTTTGCCAGAACTTCCGTTCCAGGTAAAGTGTCCTTGTTTCTCACATCAGAGCTGCATTAGTTTGTGAAGGGCACGTCGTCCTGCTCTGATCTCATCTGGGACCTCTCTGTGTTTGTGTTAAAAGTAAATGACTTCAGTCCCAAGGCTCCTCCACAGTAAAGTGTGTCTGATTTTCTATTTGTTTCTCAATCTGTGGCTCCAGGGACATCACTAACTGCTGAAGGTTGAGATGATGAACAAAATCCAATACATTTTGTTGTGTGACTAGTTTAGATTTATTAGAAACCTCAATTTTTGTCTGTATTTTGTTTGTTTATTTATTTTTTTTTATTTTTTTTATTTAGTATTTTGGTGTTGTTGTTCCCCACTTTGGTAAACTTTGACTGTTTCAAATGTATTCTATTAATACATTTTATTTTATTTTATCTTACTGTACAATACCATACAATGTAGCTGTCCATATGGTAGAGGAAGTTGCAATTATCAAGAAACAGTGTTGGGAGTAATGTATTATAAAAGTAATGTATTACAGTAATGCGTTGATTTTTGCTGTAACGCAGTAATGTAAGGCATTACAGGGGGAAAAATTGTAATATTTTACTCGGTACAAATGTGAGTAACGCGCGTTACAATGCTTTTTTAACCTGGATTGAAGTGGTGGGTTTTTCTTCATAGAAATTCGCTAAAATCACCGTGAAATCAGCAGCGGTGAAACGCCGGAGACGCGGCCGGATAGACCTTCAGTTAACCGCGGGTGAAAGGACCGACCCAGAACTCTACGCTGTTTAGACCTGGTTTAGACCTGGGTCACTTCTGGTTTAGACCTGGCTTACAGTCGTCCCTCGCTCTAACGCGATTCACTTTTCGCGGTCTCGCTGTTTCGCTGATTTTTAGAATTTTTTTTTTTTTTTTTGTGCAATTTTGCATGCCTTTTGTTTTTAGTGTATGAACACGTATTGCGTTCCTCCCGCTGTGTCCTGATCGGCTAAGGGACTCCTGTCTACTGTACAATACAGTACAGAATATGTTCAGCTGCCAAATTTAAATAAATGTTCAATCTGTATCAGTGTGCTTCTGAAGTGCTGTATGTCTGCAAGTTTTCTCTCCGACAAAATCCACAACGTCGACGAAATGTTCTGCACCGACAAAGTCTCCTGCGCTCACACCGAAAAGACAGAGGACGATGCAAACCATCACACAAAAAGTTGGACTTCTGGAGACGCTGAAGGAAGGTAGAAGTTACGCGCTGTAGCAGAGTTTTGCACCGGGTCTTGTACCCGCAAATAGTTGCTGAAATCAGGACCGCGAGCCCCCGCAGCAGGGTCCATAAAGAGCGATCGGGCGACAGCAGCTCTTACCTCCATGAGGTGCGGAGCAAAGCCGGTCCTTTCTCCTGCGGTCACCTTCGAGCCCATCCTGACAGTGAGTCCTGTTTTAGTCCTAGTTCAGTTCTGGTTTAGTCCTCCTCTTCAGTCCTGGAATCAGTCTGAGGTTAGTCCTGTTATAGTCCTGGTTTAGTCCTGGTTCAGCTCTGGTTTAGTCCTGGTTTAGACCTTGTTTAGTCCTGGTTCAGTCCATATACGGCTCAAAAGTTCAGCTTTTTCGCAGTTATTTTGGTGAGAGTAACTTAAAGTAATGCAATAGTAATGTAATGCCTTACATTTTAAATGCAGTAATATTGTAATGTAACGAATTACTTTGAAATGACAGTAATAAGTAATAAATAACGCATTACAGTTTTAAAGTAACTTGCCCAACAGTGTCAAGAAAACATGATAAGAATGTTAGGGGTGTCAAATTATCGCGTTAATTGCGATTAATTAATTACAGTCATATTTAGCGCGCTATGTTTTTTAATCGCGTTAATCTCATTTTTATTCTCTAACTTTACAGTTTCTGTATGCGAGTTGCTTTATTATAAAACCTGTTTTTATGTGTTGTTGGGACAACAACACACACACACAAACACATTTATACATTTTTATTTTTTTTTTCGGTAATTCCACTCATTGCCGGAAACCCACACAAAACGCGCGCAGTAAGAGCGACGTAAACATTATGTTAACGCTGGCGGCGTCAGTCGCACAATGGACGAAGTCGAAGAGCCAGTAGAACAGAGGCAGCAGTGCACAGGTAAAAACACATTCGTGTCTTGGAAATTATTCTCCCGACGTGAAATATAAAAGAAAATAAATATAAAATCGCCTACAACTTAAATGTCACTGGTGAAAACAACCTGCATAGACTCATGATGTCTGCACTACTGTCCTATAGTGACCTGCCACATGAGGGGGCACGCACACACACGCACACAAACACAAACACACACCTTCATCATCGTCATCAACCTGAGAACGCGCGGACCACGTTTCCTTCCGTAGACACTGCGCGGACACCGACGTGCTCCCGTGCGCCGCGTGTGGATCGTGTTTTCTCGCGTACGCTGCGTAAACCGCGCTTCCTCCTGTGCGCCTCTAAACCAGAACTAACACCAAGACTTAAACCAGGACTAATCCAGTCCAGGACTAAACCAGGACTAAACCAGTCCAGGACTAAACCAGGACTAAACCAGGACTAAAACCAGAACTAAAACCAGGTCTAAACCAGAACTAAAACCAGAACTAAAACCAGAACTAAAACCAGGTCTAAACCAGGTCTAAACCAGGTCTAAACCAGGACTAAACCAGAACTAACACCAGGACTAAAACAGGATTAATCCATTCCAGGACTAAACTAGGACTAAAGCAGGTCTAAACCAGGACTAAAACAAGGACTAAAACCAGTGATCTCATATATAAAGCATTTCTCTATCAATAATATTTTTAATATGGTTAAGGAAAGGACTTTTTATTGTCTTTAAGTAGACAAAGGTTATTATGTTCAGATTTCCTAGTCTTTGCTGCTTTACAGCAAACAGTTTCTTATTCATGGAGACTTGGGCTCAACAGCCAATTTGGAGAGATTTGTTAAACAATAAATTACTTTATAAAGTCACTTTTTTTTGTTCTATATTAGTCTTTTGATCTGCCACAATAATGTAATAATGAATTTAAATGAAAATACCTCAAATTGAAGGCTTTTCTCAGCAATTTTTAGGTGAGATTAAAATGAGATTAATTAGATTAATTAATTACAGATCATAATTAATTAATCTCTCAATTTTTTTAATCGCATGACAGCACTAAAGAATGTATTATTGTATTTTAACTTAACAATATATATAGTCTATTCCTAAATGACATGTTAGTGCCAGAGAAGTAGCCAAACAATATTGTTACACCAAAGTTCATTTGATCCATTCAAACTGTAAGCATCTGGCATAAAAATCCACAAAATAACTACACATACAAAGATTTGTTTACTATGTGACTCCACAGACATTTCCTGTTCCCTTTGCCAACCTCCAGCAGTCAGTGTGGTGTCCTGGAGCCACAGACTGAGAAACAAATAGAAAATCAGATGCACTTTAGTGTGGAGGAGCCTCGGGGCTGAAGTCATTTACCTTTAATACAAAAAGAGAGAGGTCCCAGATGAGACCTCCTCCTGCCCTTGAGAAACAGATCCAAGCCTTATAACATGTTGGTCAAACTGATCAAAGAGTATATCTTATCTAGTTAGATTTACTTGAAAAAATACTCACAATAGAACAAACAAAAAAAGAATCTACATCTTTTCAGATACACACACATTGCGCCATTAATTTCACAATATTAGGTTGATGGTTGAAATGTGTAAATATCCTCTACTCCGCTATGAATGTAAACTGAATATTTGTCTTAGTAAAAACTCAAATAAGAAAAAGGATTTATGGCGCAAGAACATGTATCTCAAGCAGGTGTCACTGTTGTACTGCATTTGAATTCTGTGGTTTTATCATGAAGAAATGTTGCCTGTATAAACGTACTTTTTTTTTTTTTTTATGAAATCTGCAGCAAAATTAAAAACATATTAAGAAACATAGGTCCAGCTTCTTAAAATGTGAAACTATGGCCATATATACTGTACATTAGCTCTATATAGGCCCAGTATAAAGTTGCATTATGAATGAATTAGTATGCATTCATAGAACATGTTTTATGGGAAAAGTATGTCCAAACTTCTGCACATTTTTAACCTTGTCATTGCTTGTTAGAGACTGACTCTATAAACTTGTCATATATTAATTTAATGGGTTAACGGCCCAGTAATTATCGAAATATTAACAGTAAACCAGGAAAACAAATCTGTATCTGACACTTGAACATCAGATTTCACCATAGATTTCTGACCTGTTCTCCAGCTCAATTTAAACTATAGAGATTTCAAAATGCAACCTAACTAATATAAAATATCTCTATTTAAACCACTCATCCATCAAAACTGTTATCTCTGTAACTTGGCAACAGTTTATCGTATTTATTTTATTATAATTACCTGTTCCAAATTCTCTTTTTTTTTGCAATAGCCATTTTTTCACCATAAAATACTTAACCAGCTCACCACCCTTTATCTCTGTGACGGTCCAAAACGCTGCTCCCCTCTCTGTCCTCTCACCCCCTCCTCCTTTAAAATGCCCCATAAACACTCACACCGCTGCATGCTTTTGAACTGAAGCCAGATTTGGTGTCAAAATTACTCACCCCCTCTCCTCCAAAATAGCTCTAAAATCAGTGAGCCAGGCCTTTTATTAACAAGAAACACTGCACCTATTTTCCACCTAATGAAATATTGATTTGGAAATTGTATTGTAAAACTCCCAAAGTGCTTCCAGCCAACGTCATCAATTATGTTATAATGCTATTATTTGAAGCCATTTCCCTAGGCGTTTTTCAGTTTGTGATAATATAGTATTCTTCTATACCTACAGAGGTGGTTAGAGTAGCCAAAAAAATTACTAAAATAAGAGTAATGTTACTTCAAAATAATATTACTCAAGGTGTTTCAAGAAATCACT